AGTGGAAAGACAAATTTTGATGAAAACCTGCAAACGAACAAACGAACGAGGAAAGAACGCACGGATGGACAGAAGAACAGCCGAAAAAACAATGAATGAACAAACGGACGGATAGGCAGACAAAAGAACGCATGAAGGAAAGATAGAAGAAAACAATTTACAAAAGATCGAACCCACGCACGCAAGAACGTAGTTACAAACAAACGCACGAATGAACGCACGCACGAACGAACACACAAACGAACGCAAAAAGAACGAACAGACGAACGCACGCATGAATGGACGGTTGAACGAAAGCACGCACGGACGAACGGAGGCCTAGACGGACGAACCCACGAACCCATGAAGGGCAGTCAGACGAAAGCAAGCACAAACGGACGGTCAGACGAACGCATGCGCACACAAACGGACGGACAATCGCACGAACGGATGCACGCACGAACGAACGAATGGACGGTCGGACGAACGCTGTCACGAACGCATGGTTTGGCGATGCACGCACGAACGAACAATCGGTCGGATGAACGCACGCATGAACGAACGGACCGTCGGACGAACGCACGGTCAGACGAACGCACGGTCAGACGAACGCACGCACGAACGAACGGTCGGTCGAATGCACGCACGAATGAACGGTCGGACAAAGAAACCAATGAAATATATGTGTCCTCAGAAGTATAATCCTTGAAATAGTGAATTATGTAGAATGTACATTTAACTCCAAATGTACAAAGTCTATTTACATATAAAAATTTGATCATGCCGCTGACAGATGGATTAGACTGCCTGAAGTTGAAGAAGAAATATTTGTGATGTTGCCATAGAATGATATGTTATGTGATTGTCATTAATACGTTATCGTGTACGTTCATATAAAGAAGCTCACTGCACTATATTCATGGAACAATGATGAAGCTTTCCTCGTGATCGAAGCGGGTAGTCGTGAAATTTGCTCGTGTTTTCAGCGGGGTCTCCTCATGTTTTCAGCGGGGCCTCCTTATGTTTTCAGCGGGGCCACTGGAACACCTTTAATAATGTATTTTGACCCCCATGGCAGGTGTCATTGTCCAGTAACTTATCAATACAGACCATCTTGATCCGATATTTATTATGGAGTATGTAAATCGTATTTATTGCCTTTATTTTAACGATAAAGGTAATATATGAACAGTAAATTATGCAAACGTGCATGTTGACGCCCCTTTCCTTCATGCAAGTAAAAAATAATCATTTTTCATGTCATTTGTTGTCAAATATATCTGTTTTCAAAGTTTTGCTGGAGTATCAAAGAACGGTAATAAGTATTTTCATCCTTTTGGTTCATTTTCCAAAGTGATACAAATATACAGGACTATGCTCGCGATTTCAGCGGGAACTTGCTCGCGACTTTTCAATCATAGCGGGGCTTTAGATACTACCCGTGAATATGTTATCTACCAACTAAAACAACATTTGAAAGCCACATATGTCCAAATATAAGACCAGTGCCATACCAAATGTCCAAATGTAAGGACCAATATCATACCAAATGTCCAAATATCTGCTTTCCTGGTCTTCCTTTTAAATACAAATAGATCTAGGTGGCCTTTTGAAAATGATCTATTTTTTTTGGGGGGGGGGGAAATCATCACTTCCGTAAATCCACTACTCATGGATTTATCGTTCGAACTGTTGCAATGATGTTTCCATTTTCACCCTTTGTCAATTACATTTTATGTCAAGAAATTATTTCCCATTTTTGTTGAATGTTTAAGGGTGCCAATGCTACTGTTGAATGTTGCCAATTTGGGGTAATACAAGGTCAAGGAAACATTTGAAGTTTAGATCACGCCCAAGTACCACTAATACATCACCAATAGACCACCAATACACCATGAAAATTGATTTAGTCAAGTGGTTTGTAAGTTATCTATTAAAACTGGCAATACTCAACTAATACACCACTCTAAGGGTTTTTTAGGTGGAGTGGTTTGTAAGCTGTTTATTAACTCGATTTTTCCTGGAATGGTCTATTAGTTGTGTATTAAAACTGGTCCTTGATTTAGAATGAGAACCCCTTTTAAATGGCGGTAATAGTTTAAATATGGGGGAAATAATTCTGCAATGAAATGTAGCATTACAACCAGAAGGGTGACTGGACTTTATTGAATCTTGTTCAACATAATCAATCAATAACAATCATAAACGTATTGTATGTAAAAGATGTAGAAGTTATCTTATTCATATTTCTCACTGAATTTAGCACTAGAGAGAGTTTGTTACCTTTGGATGTATAAAATTCTGAGGTTTCAGGAGTGATTTGTTAGTAGTCTATTAGACTAAGAGTGGTTTATTAGTGGTGTTTTAGCCTTCTGCAAGTGATGTATTATTAGTCTATTAGTAATATTTGAGCCTTCAGGAGTGGTTTATTAGTAGTGTATTACATGCTCTCTGATTGGTCAATGAATTTTATCTCATTTGCATGGTCATTTTTTCACCTAATAAATCACCTGTTAAGTCAATGGTAAAAAGTGGTCTTTTAACGAAAATCACCACTAACAAAACACTTATAGAAGATGTTCTTCTAGTTGTCTATGAAAAGTCTATAAGTGGTGTATTAGAGTGGTATGGCAAGCTGTTTTTTCACTTGGGTGATGGTAACATTTTTTAATTTTGTTATTTGTTATTGAGGTAATGCAAGGTTACATTTGGAAGTACATGTAATGTATTTAAAATAAAAAGTTCAATCATGTTGAAAGGTTAAATCCACTAGGAATTGGTCAAATGAATACACGTAGCTTCATCATTTTATTGAGAGGATCTTATACTGTATCTTCAACACAATGTGAGTTCAGAAATAAGAAATATACTGAATAATACTTTGCATATTTACTATTGACCCCTTAAGTGCTATTTTTGGGCTCTTCATTCATCACCTTCCACTTGAAAACATAACAACACAAATTCTTAATGTAATATCAATATATTATATTTTCACTTCTTATTCATGTTCACACTATACTATACTACATAATATAATAACTACAGTGGTATATTTTGTTAGTCTGATATATTGCACCATATATATGGATCAAACGAACATGCATTGCTCTCTAAATTGGTTCCAAGTATTTTTTCATGTGATACTACTTATAATAAATACAGTGATAAAAACTGCCAAATTAAGTCTCTGCCAATGTTTAGAAAAAATCCCTATGACCTTATTGCCTTGGTCACATTTGCTCTGATTTTCACTACGGCACCTGGCCAAATGAATATTTTTTCAAAATTGAATACAATATTGAAAAAAACATTCAAGCGGCCGGGCAACGGCCGATGGATCGGAGCAAATGTGACCCAGGCATAAGTCTCATTTAGATCTCTTTCAATATTTTGATTACAATCAGATCTTTAAATTTTAGCTCATGAAGGTAAAACCTCCCTGTATCAATCAAGAGTAACCTCGCCATGTGACTTCATAGCCAGCCTTCCAATATCCATATTTAATGCCTTGGTCACATTTGCTCAGATTTTCACTCCGGTGCCTCATATTCAAAACTGTTTACAATTTTGAACAAAATACTCAATCAGCTAGGCGCCGCCCGATGAATCAGTACAAATATGACCCAGGCATAACAGATGAGTCAATACACCATATTTTTTTAATAGCAGCCAAAATTCCCAAATTTGCCCAATCCACCAAATTAAATAGCGCCAAATTAAAGCAATTTACAGTAGGCCTAGCAGGTTATTTGTTCATTGATAGCTCTCCCTGAATACTTTTAGTATGAAGAACAAAATATAAAATAAACTGATTTTAATAAGATTGATTATCAGGTTATTACATTTTATCTAAAATAATTATTTTGAATTTTTGTTGCATCACTAGTTGTGATTTTAATTTTGACATTTTGATACATATACGTATTATGTTAATTGTGTCCGGTGCAAGTGGAGATTCTGTCATCTTAAAGTGTTCCACTTGCAAGAAGTTCCACTTGCAAGAGGTTCCACTTAGAGAGGACCATTTAACATTAAATCAATTTGTCATGGGGATGTGACTACCATTTCACTTATAGAGGTGTTCCACTTACAGAGGTTTCCCAATTGGCAGTTTTACTGTACAATATACAATAGGCAAGGTACAATTTTGAAATTTTTGTAATCAAAAAACATGTCTCATGTTGTACCAAATGCAGTAAGAATATGGTGAAATATTTCAAAGCATTATACAGGACCAAAGCCAAGAATTTAAGCCAAGAAATTAATGATGTAACAAGTGAAAAAATTGAAACAACCATGGCAAATATGGTTCTGTTTTTATCAAATTTTCACCCCTTTTGCACCAAATTTCAATTTTTGGCTCCGACCCTGTTGTCATATAATAGTTTTCTAGGCTTTATAGTTCTATGTTGTGTTTATATATAAATTGTGTAACAATGTCCAACACTAGCACCTCTTATTCAGTAATATATAGGCTGAACATTATATTCTGGTCTTCCATAGTGTAAAATGATAAAAACAAAACAAATAAACAAAGGAAGTGTCTGATTATGAGAACTGACTAGTAGGATTAAATAATGCTACTAAGATAGGAAAATTTGGAAATCTATTGCTAAAAATGATTCAGATATTTTTGATAATATAACAGTATAATGGTAGCAGAGATGATAACAAAAGGTAGAAAATATTAGATCTGGGGGTCTAACCTTTTTTCCAAAAATGTCTCTTGCTGATGAACAAGAATATTTTTGGCATGAGTTTGACAAAATGTGGAGATTTTTGAAGTAGTTATTGTACATTTTTTTTGCTTCATAATAGCCAGAATATTTCATGGGTTCATTGTAAAAAAGGTTAATTCCTCACCAAGATCAAATGGTTCTCCCCTAAGGCACAAAATGGCCATACTTTGATTTGTGAATTTGAGGTATACATATATTTCACACATCAATATAAAATGAAATGAATAAATAAGATTATGAATGATAATGTATAATCAACTCATGAATAAAATGTCACTCTAGTCAAATTATCTGTAAATGCTATGATCTACCCAGCCGCTGAACCATTTTGAGCACCCTGTTCAGGCTCTGGCGAAGGTGTATGCCCAGTTGAAAAGATTTATACACCCTAAATGATCAAATAATACTTTCAAATGAAGAAATTCTTGATTAAAGTTGAAGATTTAAACATGATTTTTTAAGACAAAAAAACACCCAGTTGAACAAAAATCCTGAATTGGATATCTCTCGATATTTTGAATAGTTTTTCAAGTTCATAGGAAACAATACAACAACTCACATATTTTATTGTGAAATGCTAATTGTGTAGATGACATTAATGTTTAAATGAGGCATGGATTAGCAGGTATGATGTTCTCAATAAAATATGTCACTTGAAGAAACGAACAGTTTTTCTGGCATTTCAAAGGTAATGCAGTGGATGTGCCCTTTATGCATTGGTACCTTATTCCTCACCGATTCCACTCCTTTTACACTGTATTTTGCATTCAAAACATGGCCATTGTGACATTTTATTCATGATGTTTGTCATATATATGTATGTGACCCATAGGTTCACATTAATGTGATCCCTTCATACGTTCAAGGATTGGTAAAATCATATCGAATCGTGGTCGTTTACTCGGATCTTCATTCATGCAGATCTTAATGAGCTTCAACATGTGCCCAGAGATGCCCGGTGGGATAGTGATACGTAGGCCTTCCAGCGCAACCTTCATGCCAATCTCCATTGATGACATATCAGCAAACGGCACCTCACGAGTTGCTAGTTCCCATAGCAACACTGCATAACTCCACATGGCACTTGCCCGGACATTGATATCTTTGTCTGACTTTTGCAGGGCTGTAACATAGAATGAAAACACTTTAAAGTTAATTTTAAGCAGCATGATGAAAGATTCAAATTGGAATTCAATTCCACAAGGATAAAAGGAAAGAAATAATTTGATGTGTATGGAGAATCTGACTACTGCTTGGCGTACTAACAAGATTTTAACAAGTCAACTCAACTAACACATTTTTTGACTCAGATTTAGTGCGTGAGATTTAGTGCGTGAATGATTTCCCAATTAGGGATTATATGTACATGTATGTTTCATCAATTCCAATTGAAATTCTACTTAAATTATCATGTTATTTATATATTGCAAGGGATTGTCTCAACATGTTACCTTCAGGTGACAACCATGCAGGGTTATATTCCTTCCCTCGTTCATGGAATGAGAACCTATAGTCAGCCATGTTGATTCTCGCAGTTAAGTCCTCATCCATCTGAAACACCACATAGAAGTCATGACACACCAAATGAAAGTATTCATAAACTTAATTATTATATCACTATCTAGCTAGCGACAGTATGATTGGTCAAAACCGGGTCACATGTCGTGGGATATCTGGCGATATTCAATGGCAATGCTAATCAGATAAGACAACCGTGAGATATCTAGCGATATCCCACGCATCCGGGAATTTTCAAAGAATTTGTTTTCGTTCAGTGTAAATTATTTAGTTCAGTTTAAGTCAAAATGGCAGACGAACCGAGTAGATTCGTAAAAATATCTGAAGACTTAATGACTTAATGAATATTAGGGATGTTTAGCTAGACAGTGATATAATAAAACAAATATTTCACTTCGGGCTTCGTGGAATATCACTTGTGAAAGATGTACAGGTATTCACCTCAATAGAGTGAAATATTTGTTCAATATTCCACAAAAGGCACAAGGAAAATGTTACTGTGTCAGATATCAACATCAACTATGTATTGATTTATCTACAAGTTTGTGAGAGTATGTTCAACGATTATTTCAGAAAATAAACATATAATCAATTTACAATATTTGAATTTTGCATACCACCTCAACCTTCTACTCACCCTTTAACCTACTATTAGAAATAAGGTGAGACTAGTCAAAACACTTTGACATCAGACTACAAGCCTTTGTATTTTGCATCTCAGTAAATCATCCATACACTACCTACCTTAACCTCTTATAATGCTCCATATTTTTGAAATGTCATTCGGTCAGTAAGCCACTTGTATATTATTGAAAAGGTGGCTAAAATAAATGGAGGCAGATGTGTCCAAAGCATCTAACATTCATCTACTGAACACAGATTCAGTCTCACTCAAAAGCAGTGATTTTAACCATGCCTAATATAGCTCTACAATCTGAGGTGACACAATCATGCCTAATATGGTCCTAGGATTAGGAACAAAGAAGCAAATCAGAATGAAACCTGGAATGAAAATAACCATGGAAGAATTGTTCATTTTAAATTTGTAAAATGACTAGTTTTAGATTGTTCAGTTTATACATAAGTATATGAAACAGGGAAATTGCAAAGGATAAAAATATGTGAGATTCAATCACATGCACTATTAATTTCATTCTATCTATACACCAGTCATATATTGCCTACTTTGTCATTCCTCACAGAATATATTACAAAACCAGATGTTACCAGAGGGATTTAGATAACCGAGGAAAAATTCAATTTCATACTTAGTGATTAAACGTAGATGAGGAAAATTCAAATTTCTGATAATATTAATCAAGCCTCTTCCTAGAAGTATCAGACATGCAATCATTTGCAATAAAATGAATCAGTTTTTTCAATTTGAGAAATGAAACTTAAAACGTGATGGAACAGAAAAACAACCAAATCATGCTATAGAATGTTTATGTTTCTGTAGCAGCTAGATTTGGAAAATATTCAATATTCAGCTTCAATATATTCATCGTTTCATTTCTCAAATACCTGGAAAATTCTGAAAAAGGCATGCAGAAAAAAACATTGTTCAAAAACGTATACATGCAATATTCTGGTAGAGCGGGTCAAATCAAGATTAGTTCCAAGTCTTTAGAGTCCAGATATCGAGCCATTTTTATTTTAACAATACCAGGGAGCATTTCAAGATATACAATTCACATTCCATGTTCAATTCAGCATCCTAAAATCTGTTCTCCTGTTATATGCAAGTAGGTGTTTAGTACATATGCAGATAGCGTTAAAGTTGGAGTCTGTAATGCTCTATTTTTCAAGCAATGAAGGTTAATTATGCGAAAACATTACAATGTTAACCAATCAGATGGCACACACAACCGGAGAATAAATACCCCATTGACAGCAGCGCCATCTTTTGACTTCTCTATGTACTTGGGATCGTCAACATTTATTTTAGCAAGATCTTCATCAATCTGTAATTTCATTGGTTAACACTTAGTTACTATGACAAGACATCTGTTATTTCTTTTGTTAACAATTTCACTTAATACATGGTTGTTGTAACAACAATATGTTGATACTGTATTTCCATTGCACAAACATACAGATCTTGTGAAAACATATACAGAGTTAACCTTAACTAGGTTATATACTATGTGATATAAATTATAAACACATCTATTTAAAGTTCATTAGACAAAACATAAAAATAACACAAAATATTTTAATCAAAATAAGAAAACTTATATTATTTTTCCTCAAGTTTAAAGTTAAGTAAAAAAAGGTACAAGTAAAAAAATAAAACTTGACCAGGAAACAATACAAACTTTCACAGATAGAAGAGAAAAAAATTCTAAATATACATAGAAAATAAATAAAACTGTTATACATAAAACACCAGAGCTAAGACACATTTGTACCTACCAAAACGTGTTTGCTGGTAAGGTGGAAGTTTGGCACCATTGGTTCTAGAGAGTGAAGAAATTCCATTCCACGTGCAATATCTACGGCAAACCGCAACGCCTGATTCTGGTCCACTACGATACCTGAAAACAGAGTACAGTAAAAACCTATGTAAGTAAGTGGAACATCTCTGAAATATGTCAAAATAATGTGGTGTTCCACTTACAGAGGTTAATTTTACATTAAGTTATTGGGCAATACAGTAGTTTGAAATATGTTCCACTTATGGAGGTGTTCCACTTTTAAAGGTGTCTCACTTTACAGGTTTTATTGTCCTGTTAATCAAAGTTTATTCCCAAAAAATGAATAACATACAGAACATACTTTATTGTGTAAAAATAAAGTAAAAGACATAATATTTTCTGTTTAGCTACTTGAACAGTGTGCTTGAGTCGATCAAAATATACAAACAATAGGCAACATTTGCAATTTTTACCTGTTTCCCCATGAAGAACATTGAAGAGGGATCCCATTGGCATACACTGGCTGATGATAACTAGATTTGGAGGCTGGTTGCAGGCACCTAGCACAGGGAGAATATTGGGATGGTTGAAGATCCTAAAATAAATAAAGATCATTCATCAGCCAATAGCCATTTTGTATTAAATAACAGAATACAAGAATAAACACAGGCTTATTGTGACCAAGGATCCCACTCAAAAAAATGCAAATCCAATGTGAAGTTAATTTAAAGGAACAAATTGTCAATTGGGTGGCCATTTAAATTTGCAAGGCACAAATCAGGAAAATACAATATATGTATTCTGCTTTAAAATATCTTCAGTTCCAGTTAAATAAAGCCATACTTAGAAAAGATCCCCAGAGTAGACTCTAGCTTAATCTTGAGAGGAACCTAAGTCCTATATGCCTACCTTAATCTTGGGTATTCTTCCTGGAAGTCTCTAGAGTTTCTGATGGTGCACTCCCTCAGGTTGAGAATCTTGGCCACTATGTCATTCCCCTGCCACACCCCTCTCCAGATCTGAGTAATAGAGGTATAGAGATGCTCACATATGTATCATACATGCATATATTGTGATTTGATGGGGTCTTACCCTACACCATGATTATACTACAATGAAGGTTGAGAATCTTGGCCACTATGTCATTCCCCTGCCACAACCCTCTCCAGATCTGAGTAATAGAGATGTTCACATATTATGACATATATATATGGCATTAATTCATACACATTTGGCGTAACAGAACCAATGATTTCCACTGGTGTTCCCATAAAGCCCATATCCCTAACCCCATGATTATATTTATTAATGTTGAATTATAAAATATATGAACTTACATCTCCTGAGTGGCCTGTTGAGATTCTAACTTGGAGGTTCAGTTGGGCAATGTCAATGCCAGCATGTCTTGACAGAGTGGCATCACCTACAGTAATACATTGGCATATTAATATTTACATTGGCATATTGTTGGTTACAAAGGCATATATCACAAGCACTAGATTCTATCGATAGCACTTTTTCAAACACACAATATTATTGGTTGAAATTCAAAAGAGGTTACAAGATACTAATATAAGGGTGTCAAATAAGTCCCGTCCCCCCCCTGCTACAGCTAGAACCTTAATAGATGGTGCCTAGTCTGATATACCATTGGAAAGATCATCCAAAGTTATGTTAACTCACCAACTCTCAAGTATTTTGGATGAAATTCACCTATATTTTCATAATAATTATGTAAGAGAACATGATATAAGACATACATCTTTTTCAGAGATTCTTATAAAGTTATTTTATTTTTTTAAGTTTTATAGGGAGTTGGGTAATATGGGCCTTCAATGCAAGAATCTAAGTTTAATAGTGATCGTTTATATGATAAATGAAATGTACATACGACTTCTAGTCTTGTATCCCAACCAACTTCTGTCTTTATATGGCATCCTCTTAAGATCCTGCCCCATTGAACTCGCCCTTTCTGAAAAATAAAGCATTTAATGAATGAATGAAAAGCAAGGTCTATGTGTATATATAGGACTAGGCCAAGTGCTTTTCCAAGGTAAAATTAACATGTAAAAAATTGCTGAAACAATATCAATGACTTAAATATTTTACCTTATTAGGTGTAAATAAATTGTCAACTTATAGTAAAATCTGAATGCTAAATAATTAAAGGCACTGGGTTCTCGCACAATGAAAGCTGGATCATGATTTGATTTCTTTATTACAAGTATATAGCTTCATTAATTATATAAGTACTATGATATAGACTTTCATTGTTGACTCAGTGAAAAATTTATTGAATTTTTCTATAAATTTGAATTCAAAATTATTAAATCATTGCTTAATAATGTGTGCATACCTGACAGCATTTTTGCAAGGTTGCGTTTTGCTTTATCAAGACAAGTCTCATCATTCTTATTGCAGATCCCAACTATTGCACCATTGTTTACAAGATCCTACAAGCAAAATTCATTCAAATTAATAATAAATGTGTTACCTTGAAAATCTGTATATTAATGAAGAGTTGTCACAGCATTGTACTGATAATACTGTAATCTCTGGCTCGATAAATCAAACAATTATCTGGGGACATGGTGCATGATGCAACCCTTGTACAAGATATAAATAAATTAAATTCAACCATAGTTATCTGATTCTCAATTAAGTTTTTGATTACATCTCTAAAGAAACTGTAAACTCCTAAAGCAATTTTTTCTGGAACACATGATATCAATCAAGTCAAAATTCCATTCCACTTCTCTCTAAAAATTATGAGTAACTCAAATCAGTGTTTTTCTGCCTATTATTGTCAATTAGATTATTGCATGGTCCATGAGGAGTGAGGGTGTGTGAGGGATAGGCTTTGACAACAAACAAATGATAGGTTTGAATGTTTCAAAGTGGACTTTGTCTAAAGAGATTGTGCTCTTTATTTAGGGGACATTTTCTGCTAAAAACTTCAAGAAAAGTGTGGACTGACTGTCAGAAAGTGTTATGGTGACTGATCACAAAAATATGGCTCCTCATAATTTTGACTACATAGAATAGAATTTGTCAAGAATGTGTCAATGTGAACTGAAAACTTGTCCAGACACTAAAACTGCTTATGTGTCACCTTATATGGTACCTTCCTCAGCTATTAGATCATTGTTCCAGAAGCAAGCATAGTGCAAGGGGGTGATGGGTACCTACCTCAGCTATTAGATCATTGTTCCAGAAGCAAGCATAGTGCAAGGGGGTGATGGGTATCTACCTCAGCTATTAGATCATTCTTCCAGAAGCAAGCATAGTGCAAGGGGGTGATGGGTACCTACCTCAGCTATTAGATCGTTGTTCAAGAAGCAAGCATAGTGCAAGGGGGTGATGGGTACCTACCTCAGCTATTAGATCGTTGTTCCAGAAGCAAGCATAGTGCAAGGGGGTGATGGGTACCTACCTCAGCTATTAGATCGTTGTTCCAGAAGCAAGCATAGTGCAAGGTGGTGATGGGTACCTACCTCAGCTATTAGATCATTGTTCCAGAAGCAAGCATAGTGCAAAGGGGTGATGGGTACCTACCTCTGCTATTAGATCATTGTTCCAGAAGCAAGCATAGTGCAAGGGGGTGATGGGTACCTACCTCAGCTATTAGATCATTGTTCCAGAAGCAAGCATAGTGCAAGGGGGTGATGGGTACCTACCTCAGCTATTAGATCATTGTTCCAGAAGCAAGCATAGTGCAAGGGGGTGATGGGTACCTACCTCAGCTATTAGATCATTGTTCCAGAAGCAAGCATAGTGCAAGGGGGTGATGGGTACCTACCTCAGCTATTAGATCATTGTTCCAGAAGCAAGCATAGTGCAAGGGGGTGATGGGTACCTACCTCAGCTATTAGATCGTTGTTCCTGAAGCAAGCATAGTGCAAGGTGGTGATGGGTACCTACCTCAGCTATTAGATCATTGTTCCAGAAGCAAGCATAGTGCAAGGGGGTGATGGGTACCTACCTCAGCTATTAGATCATTGTTCCAGAAGCAAGCATAGTGCAAGGTGGTGATGGGTACCTACCTCAGCTATTAGATCATTGTTCCAGAAGCAAGCATAGTGCAAGGGGGTGATGGGTACCTACCTCAGCTATTAGATCATTGTTCCAGAAGCAAGCATAGTGCAAGGGGGTGATGGGTACCTACCTCAGCTATTAGATCGTTGTTCCAGAAGCAAGCATAGTGCAAGGTGGTGATGGGTACCTACCTCAGCTATTAGATCATTGTTCCAGAAGCAAGCATAGTGCAAGGGGGTGATGGGTACCTACCTCAGCTATTAGATCGTTGTTCCAGAAGCAAGCATAGTGCAAGGTGGTGATGGGTTCCTCCCTCAGCTATTAGATCATTGTTCCAGAAGCAAGCATAGTGCAAGGGGGTGATGGGTACCTACCTCAGCTATTAGATCATGGGTACCTACCTCTGCTATTAGATCATTGTTCCAGAAGCAAGCATAGCGCAAGGGGGTGATGGGTACCTACCTCAGCTATTAGATCATTGTTCCAGAAGCAAGCATAGTGCAAGGGGGTGATGGGTACCTACCTCAGCTATTAGATCATTGTTCCAGAAGCAAGCATAGTGCAAGGGGGTGATGGGTACCTACCTCTGCTATTAGATCATTGTTCCAGAAGCAAGCATAGCGCAAGGGGGTGATGGGTACCTACCTCAGCTATTAGATCATTGTTCCAGAAGCAAGCATAGTGCAAGGGGGTGATGGGTACCTACCTCAGCTATTAGATCGTTGTTCCAGAAGCAAGCATAGTGCAAGGGGGTGATGGGTACCTACCTCAGCTATTGGATCATTGTTCCAGAAGCAAGCATAGGGCAAGGGGGTGATGGGTACCTACCTCAGCTATTAGATCGTTGCTCCAGAAGCAAGCATAGCGCAAGGGGGTGATGGGTACCTACCTCAGCTATTAGATCATTGTTCCAGAAGCAAGCATAGTGCAAAGGGGTGATGGGTACCTACCTCAGCTATTAGATCATTGTTCCAGAAGCAAGCATAGTGCAAGGGGGTGATGGGTACCTACCTCAGCTATTAGATCATTGTTCCAGAAGCAAGCATAGTGCAAGGGGGTGATGGGTACCTACCTCAGCTATTAGATCGTTGTTCCAGAAGCAAGCATAGTGCAAAGGGGTTATGGGTACCTACCTCTGCTATTAGATCATTGTTCCAGAAGCAAGCATAGTGCAAGGGGGTGATGGGTACCTACCTCAGCTATTAGATCGTTGTTCCAGAAGCAAGCATAGTGCAAAGGGGTTATGGGTACCTACCTCAGCTATTTGATCATTGTTCCAGAAGCAAGCATAGTGCAAGGGGGTGATGGGTACCTACCTCAGCTATTAGATCATTGTTCCAGAAGCAAGCATAGTGCAAGGGGGTGATGGGTACCTACCTCAGCTATTAGATCATTGTTCCAGAAGCAAGCATAGTGCAAGGGGGTGATGGGTACCTACCTCAGCTATTAGATCGTTGTTCCAGAAGCAAGCATAGTGCAAGGGGGTGATGGGTACCTACCTCAGCTATTAGATCATTCTTCCAGAAGCAAGCATAGTGCAAGGGGGTGATGGGTACCTACCTCAGCTATTAGATCATTGTTCCAGAAGCAAGCATAGTGCAAGGGGGTGATGGGTACCTACCTCGGCTATTAGATCATTGTTCCAGAAGCAAGCATAGTGCAAGGGGGTGTTCCCATGCTCGTTCACAGCATTAATGTTGGCCTTGTTGTGTAATAGCTGTAAATAAAATGAAACAAAGTGAGATATACATGTAACAGTATGTATTCTTATTTACATAATGTTTGATAAAATAAAACAGATTGGACAGAATAGTTATTCCATGAACTGACTTCCAAGTTTTAAGACAGAAATATTTACACATAATCCAATGGAACAGGCGTGAAGAACAACCATTTATAAAAATCAGAGAACTTCATCTTAATTGTTGGATTTACACTAGAGCCCTAAGACGTCTTGGCTAAAACGTTTTAGCGTTAAAACGTTTTACAAATGTAATGTAAATCCAGATTTTCTCAAGAGCTCTAGGCTAAGAGCGCTTAGCTAAAACGTTTTAGGACCCTAGCCATAGCCAAGATGTAATTGCGTTAAAACGTTTTACAAGCGAGTGTAAATCCATCGGTTTTAGCTAAGAGCTCTTAGCCCCGTTTTTTGCATTGCGTCAAACAAAACAATTTAAACTTTCCATTTACATATGACGCATGATCCTTTATTTTGTCTTATCCCTTGTTCCCAATACCATCCCAAAATTATTGAGAAGAACTTATTTGCCTGGTGATTTATCATAATCCAAATTTATGCATAAAATCTTCCTGCTCTCTTTCATGCTTTTAACAATGCTGTCTTTAGGACATATTTTTGTGAAACCGATGCGTTCTTTAGTACAAAGTATAGAAGCTGGAAAGGAATACACTATATTGACTGAACCATCCTTCAACCAGTACTGAATTGCTTTTTTCATTTTACATGTATACTGAGTACATATCTCTAAGACGTTTTAGAAAAACAGGTGTAAACTCAATCATATTTCGTAAGACGTCATGAAAATGGTGGTGTAAAATCAACATAATTTTTCTAAAACGTTTAGCAAAGACGTCTTGGAATGCCACATGTAGTGTAAAAAGGGCTAATGAGTCCTGGTTTCCATTTGGTACATTAATATTTTCAACACATAACTTCAAGGTATTGTAACAGTAGAACATCAAATCTCCATACCGTGAGGGCAATGTCCCTGTGCCCATGACTTGCAGCTAGATGTAGAGCAGTATCATCCCCCATATTGGTGGCATTTATCCTGGCACCCCTGGCTATCAGCATCTCTACTATGTTTGATCTGCCCTCCCTTGCTGCCCAGTGGAGCAAACTGAATCTGTGGTCATCTCTGCAGGTAAAGGGTTAAGTTCAAGTTTGGTTCAGTGTTTTTTGAATGGGGTTTCATTAGCAGCTGGAAACAGTCAGTTTTCACCGGTTGTTTTCATAAAATCGCCTGTTGTTTATAGGGACTTTTCAACTTTTCCATGTTATATTGATGATTTCCATTAATTTTGCCTGTAGTTTTCATTTATTTAGCCTCTTGTGAGAAATTCTAGTGAAACACCTGATATTAAGATTTTGTTAGGGAAAATGAAATGTTAATGATTTAATGCACTCGTAAGAATATATTAGTGATCAGACTCTAGCCTTTCCCCAAGTTGGTCTCTTTTACATGTACTTATGTTGGTAATAATTCAAGATCAGATATTAAAGGTGCAACAATTAGTACAGGAGGGCCATTCAACGATCATTGACCATGAGTGTCAAAATATATCTAACTTTTGATATTTCATCAAGACTAACATGTATTTTCATTATCTACAAAGAAACCCCCTGGATGAACTTTATTTCAGCTGATATTCCTCTTCAAACGTGGTGGATCTTAAAAATCTATCAGTGGGATTCCCTTTATAGAAGTTTTGAACTGAATTTACACTTCTTAATGCTGAAATTGATAGTTTAGCCAGATATTGACCTGATAGCTCAGAAAAAATAAGATTTTCGAACTTTCTCTCTACAGTCCTTGTTTCCCCTTTAAGTAAAAAATACTGACTTGGGCAATTTTTAGCTAATCAGACTAACCCAATGAAGCAACCAATATGCTACACCCAGCTCTTGTATTTTATATATTTTATTCCAAAATTGCCATTTGCATAATGAAGATCTGTTCATAATCAGAAATTTGATGTCATGAAAATGATGTTTTTGACAGTAAAATGAGTTAAAAGAAATCATGAGAAGAACATTAAAACTCAATATTCTTACGGTATCTATGCCATCGAGACCATTTCTAGTTCTTGAAGTACTAGAATAAGGTATTTTCATACATCTTTAAAACTACTGAATAAATGTTGAACCAACTAAGAATAGTAACTTCTGTTGCTCAGAGCCTGAAGCCTCTAATTGATGCACCTGATAAGGCTACTACTATACAGGGTGATTCAACCCTACAGGAAATAATAAATTGTTATTAAATTTCCTGTTTGCGTTTAATTCTTTTTACATTATGCACAGATATTTTATCACCCTGTACTTGAGTTGAATTTTTCTTACAATTTTATTTGATGAAGTTTCTTTGTTGAAGAATTTTTGAAAAAAAACAAAAACATAACAAATGTGTAACTTTTTGTAAGGGAGATAAGGGCATTATGTGTAACATGACTCCTTCATTGCAACCTCTGTTTTCTGAAGACTATGAGGGATGTGCATTGTGCAATTTACATTCTGAGATCACTTTCAAATAATAACATACCAGGGTATTTTTTCGATTTTCAAATTGGAAACGACAAAAAAAGAAATATATGAAATAAAATATAATTCATAAGTCAAAATTTCTTGATTAAACAGAATTATCATATTTAGAAACTACTTCAAAACTTTTCACATCATAAGACCTCACACAAAATTAACCTACATGGTAAGGCCTAAATGTTATCTAAGAACATAAGACATGAATGGGAATTAAAAAGTTTTCACTCTTGGTTTTACATACAAATAAAATATATCTAATCCTTTTCAATGAGTTTTTCCAAGCCATCAAATGAAACATTTCATTAACAATAAATGTTAAAATTGCAATGAATGAATAAATACAACTGGACATTATACAGTGAGCACTTAGTTGAAACAATTCTACTGAAATGTGGTATTGACTATATGCATACCTGTATAATAATTTTGCAAGGTAAGGCTATTGCAAGAGAGTTACATTGAAGAAAACCTAACATGATTTATCACAAAAAAAGTTCTTACTTGCCTTAACAGTACTAATGTGTTTTACACGCACTGAAAAACATAACTTGAATCCTTTCAAATATACACTCTATTTGGATTTCCCTGTGGTAAATATTAACTTATGTCCATGGGTGATGGTTTGAAAATATTGAAAATAATGTTTTTATTTGCAGTTATTTCTAAATTAAAAGAGACTTAACTCTCTCACATAAGCCCTTAGAACAGAACTTAATTCTGTGTTTTCAAATATCTAATTCCATGTGGTGGAACGATCAGTGGTGCCACATATTTGGTTATGATGATACTAAGAGAATGATTCGTCACAGAATATTGCTTCAAATCTATAGATATTGATCTACTCAGTAACTATAAAATGTAGGAGAGTCTTATGCTCTGTGTGGTTATTTGGCATGTACCAAAATTTTGAAAATGGAACAAATAACTACCCCACAACGGTATGGGTATATTCAGTATGAAACTATATTAGTAACGATTAAGAAACTGAAAAAATTATTTTGTATATCATTGTTTATTTCAGTTTATTTGCATTTGAGTTTGCTCAAATTTAATATTCAAATACTAATTGTATTAAAAAAATATGTGAGATATCACATATTGTTCAGGATAAATATGAACAATTCTGTCATATTTAAAACGTAAAGGCTAGAGTACCGACAATTGTCGGTACTCTAGACTCTGATGTGGTGGCAGGCTAGAGGACCGACAAATAAATTGTCGGTACGGGAGATATGCTGTGTTTACACGCTAGAGGACCGACAAATATTGATTTTCGAATTTTCTGGCGCATGCGCAGTGCGCGGGGGGATATTTCAGATATCATACGGATATTTTGGGAACAAGTGCAAAACCCGGGGAGGGCATTAGCCCCGGTTACCCGGGGATTACCAAACCCAGTCAAAAAATGGTAGCCCGGGAACAGGGAATGGTAATGAAAACCAAATAAAAAACATGAACAAGTAAGACGTTAGAGAGCTATTAATGCAGAGTAAACGGCTATATATATTCTAAACAGACAGGATATTTCTCCTGAGCCGAATCAGGCGTAGAAAGGGGCGTTTGCTACCCATTAGATAGAAGAAAATAGCTAGAATGTTTTTTTTTGAAGCTTATGGTATGAGGTTCCCTATATAGTCCATTTAAAAACCTGTGGTATCGTTCTAAATAACCCATAGTTGGCTTCTAGTGTACCTAGTATGCCACTATTTGGTATCAAAATAAAGAGGAGTTCAACTTTCATTTGAATTACGAAAATAGCGATGTAGGTCAAAATAGTTCCGAACGTGAGCATGTTTACTACGCGTTTGCCCGTCATATCAGAATTGAGGAAGTGGTAGCAAACGCGAGTTACAATAAACGGACGCTGATATCTCAAAAAGTAACCTGACTCCCTATAATTTGATGTAGGTCAATCGAACCCCTATATGGACAGGTGCATTTTGATATATAACACTATGGGGGGTAAGCGTTTCATAGTTGGTCACGAACGCCATATGTGCAAAGTATTGTTATGAATTTTCGAATTTGGTGTTGGATTACGGTACTCATACCTTATAGCACAATTTTTGATGGAATTTGCATTTGGCTCCCTTAGTTAATGGCCACGATTCCATCTCGCATGAGAGAGTTACCAAACGCAAAGCATGGGCGTAGCCAGGGGGGGGGGGTGCGATCGCACCCCCCCCCCATAACCTTTGAAAATATGACCATTGGATAGAGGTAGAAAAGAGCTTTAAAATGCTTTTTATTTGAAGCTTCTAGCTCAATTTTGAAGGAAGTTGCATCAATTTTTGTAAAATTCAAAAGAAATCTTAATTTTTTGTGTTGCTTATGGCAAAATCGCACCCCCCCCCTGACCGAAAACTGAAAAATTTTCGGCGATCGCACCCCCCTGACTGAAAGCTGGCTACGCCCCTGCAAAGTAAACAGTGATATATTCCAAATGAGATATTTCTCCTGTGCCATGGCGTAGTTAGGGTAGATGTCGACGGGGGCGAAAGCATCCCCTCCCCTAACTGTATATATTGACCCATTAGATAGAACAAGAAAAGAGCTTTAAAATGTTTTTTAATTGAAGCTTGTAGGACAATTTTGATGACAGTTGAATCAATTTTTGTTGAAATAAATTATGGCTCACTACAAGTTAATGCCTGTACGATTCCATACTGCAAAAGAAGCAATATGCCCCCCTCAAAATAAAAAAGTAATCCTGCCGGGATTCGAACTCGGGACTCGAGTGTGTTCGAGTCGTGCTCGCTAACCACTAGACTACCAGTGATGAAGTTATTTCTGTTGGTAAAAGTAGTGCTTTTATTTATGAAATTGTCGGCTCTCCAGCAAAAACACGTGGCAGCCACTTGCGTACCGACAATTGTCGGTTCTCTATCTGGCACTACTAGGTGACGATAGAGTGCCGACAATTGTCGGTACCCCAGCAAATACCCCTGGACAGTCTCCAGTACCGACAATTGTCGGTCCTGGAGCCACTCCGTATTTAAAAATACTGTAAATACTGTAATGTTGAACTTTAATCTGCTATAGAAGCAAAATTGTCTTCTTTTTACATGATACAATAAATAACAAGGCATTAACATACAAAATATCACCACCTGTCATTCGTTACAGATGCCAACTACTGCTACAGACCATATACAATATACCAACCGCTGATCACTGGCCGAATACTTCCCAAACAGTTGGAGACCATTACAATGTATCACTACTTCTGGTGGTGACATAATGACTTATGTAGACAGAGATATAAACTCACATTCCAAAAGATACCTAATGGTATGTTAGATATAATTTTGTTAATTAATACCAAAACTAAAAGGAAAAACCTAATGAATACATTATCAGCGGCTATGTATTTGACACAAGGCGGAATCAAGAGCAACAAACTTGGAGGATCTCATATGCGCTGCTCGTATGTTTGTAATTAGAAGAGGCAAATGCCATTGCTCAATCTCGAACTACCAATACTAGAAATTAACTCACCCTTGATTTAGATCATTTTCTGTATTATCCAACCACATGCGCACTTGAAAGGCATCGCCCTCTCGAACCAATGTAAATATGTCATCCATTTTGAGCAGTGCAGTGTCTATTCAAGGTACACGTATTGAGTAAAATGTAATTCACTAAAAGTATCACATAGCATGACCCATTAAAGGGCATAAGGATTTCTGAACACAAGTCCTTACTCTTAAAGAACTAAATATTTTATTGTGGAAATGGAGTCTGTAAACTTGTGTTTTGGAGAAAGTTTTGAAGTTTTCAGAAATAATGTTCACTTGCTATGGCAAAATCTGCACATTCTAAGTACTTTTTCGAAGGCAGAGATATTCTTAGATATGTCTTCCTTTTCACAGTGGTATCAGATAATCCATTATACATCCAGTTATTGTGAAATATAACTTTTAATCCAGAATTCTTGATCAATTTTGTTTCCAATTAATTGACCTACTTTTACTGCGCAACTTCCTGGCGCATTGAAAACTGAATAATAACCGCTCCAAATTCAAGATGTCTGCGCCCATGTGAAGGTAAATTATCCTCATTTTGAGCAATTGCTCGACAATTAAGCTTTAAAATATTGAAGTTCGAAATCGTAGGGTGAAAACAATGATTTTCTACATGATTGAACTTGAATCCATACTTTCATAATAGTTGTATGCATATAAATAACGATTTCGAAAAAACATTGAAAAATCATGAGTCGAATTCGATGTCAATTGATTCACAAAGATTCAAAGAATGCACACTGCATTTGACACAGTACTCTCCAATGGCATGGGTGTCATAGAAAACTCTGTGGTGTTCAAATCGTAATAGTAATTACTCAGTCACTGGTCACCTCCCCCCACTATTGTGGGATTGAAAAATCAAGCCCATATTTATCGGGGTACACATGCAAATTACATTTGGCCCCGTACGAGCCTTGAGAAAGTCATTTCAGGTTAAAAAGGAGCATGATCCATGCATGGAGCTCATTTTCGAGGCCCATACGATGCTCGTAATTAGTCTATATCCATTAGACTGAATCAGGCCTGTCAACTGTCCCGCAATTTGTGTATTTGTCACGCATTTGCTGAAGAATTTGAAGTCACGCCAGTTTTTTTTGCATGACAGAAAATGTCACGAAAATACGCATTTTACTTGGTAATTGTCAAGCAAAAATATTTCTGTAGAAAAATTTCTAAAAAAGTTCGCCGATACAGCAAAAATACGAATGTGAAAAAAAACGTACGCATTCCTTTCGGACTTTTCATGCGAATGACGTATATGTCACGCATTCCGTTTGAAATTTTTCGTACCCTTTGTGCACAAAATAATTAATTTTAGGAAGCATCACTTCCCAAAAATAAACATTATAACAATTCAATTAGTATAGTTAGGTACAATTAAATACTATAAAAAGTAACACAGCATGTTGTCAAATGGATATAAAGCTAGGGGAAGTAACAAATATGCAAATTAATTTACTTCATCTGCCATTTTGAATGATACTTCCTATGCAAACAAATATTTTTCAATCCCAGATTTTAACTTATGTGGGCTATAGTATGAATATTTTCATTCCAAATTTCAAAAAATTTCAGACTAGAGGATATAATCTTACTCGTAATTGTTATTTTCGGGACCTGTACGAGCATGTACAATGCTCGTAATTTCGAGGCCCGTACAAGCTCATATGAGGCCCATCATCGGACACTTTTACACCACAAAAAATCATTTAATGATCATTTGGAAATGGTGATAGAAAATCCAGGTGTTATTTATTTATGGTGAGCACTTTATGTATGATGACATTTTCATACATTCGTTAACAATATTTATCTACATCACATTTCGCACGTTTTTACATGGATTTACTTCACTTGTAGAGAAATATGGTGTCTCCTATCACCTATTGGACTAACCCTCCTGTTTATTTTGTTTCCTAGCTTTAATACTGTTTATCATGTTGATGCAGACATGCATTTATTTTGAAATTATTGAAGAAGTGTTAAAAAGTGTTCATCAAAATAAACAAGCAGTTACGAGCCTCCTTATGAGCCTCTTACAGGCAAGTACAGTGCTCGAAAATTACGAGCTATTAAAGACCTTGTTACTGGCATCGCACAGGCAATTTCAAGGCTAGAAAATCACAAGCTATTTCGGGCCTCGTAACAGGCACCATACAAGCAAGTACGGGGATAGAAAATTATGATTTATTACAGGGCTCATTTACAGGCACTTTAGGTCAAGTATGGGGGTTGAAAGTTACGAGCTATTATGGGCCTTGTAATTACAAGCTCTTCTAAGGCTCGAAAATTACAAACAATTATGAGACTCGTAACGAGGCTGTACGAGGTTGTTCAGGGCCCGTTGACTCAACAAGCTCAGTGTGGGCTTGTACGGGTCCGATGTAATTTGCCTGTGTACCCCCCACACTCAGTATGCAGTTATGATTTGGGACAAGTCCAAATCATGATCTATCCTTTTTTCTGGTGTGTCCAGCAAGAAGTGGATGCAGTTCAAACTACTGCAATGAATCTGATACTGCAATCTGTTTTTTGAATGTTTTGACGATTTAATTAAGGAATAAATCGATTCTATGATTTATGGCGCAATATATTACAGAAAATTTTATTCTGTTCATTGTTAAGGTCAGTCTAAATGTTCAGAATTTTGATGCGTACCGATCGAGGTCTTTGGCAAATGTCAGAATAAAATCTGAGATCATTATGTATTTGCCATGAATCATAGAATTGAGGTCTTTGTTAGTATTCTAATATGCTAAACAAACCAGAAAAACAGCTTTTTAAATATGCCCCAATATAGACCAATAAATCAATTGTTCTAGTTATTGTGACTTCACATTAGAATTAACAAATAATACAGACTGAAGAGCAGGGGTAATATTGTTGAATACACCCTGTAGCTAGGCAGAAAAGTTTTCTGTATCCAGAACAACCGAAGGGAGTAAGGGCTTCGAAAGCTTTTGTGCCTAGCCCTAAGGGGTGTATTTGACAATTTACCCCTGCTCTGAGGTCTATATTACGATTCTAACATGAAAGCTCACCAAAATGTCTTGAATATTCATTATGGTCCACCATAACTATGATCGGCCGTTATGACATCACACATTACACGTATTACCAGGGGCATTCTTTGGGAATATATCCCGAGGGGTGAAATGTTGACTTTGTTTACAGTTTAAAGAAGGCGTGAATACAGTCATGTTCGAATTATCAATAGGTGCAATTTTTGTTCAAGCTCCTGTGTCATCACGATGGACCCTGATATATTTTTACAATATTGGAATAGGTCTAGAATCATATTCAACTGTTTGATATGGCATAATAGACAAAATTACGCATTGAAAATTTGAACAAAATTGGCCCATTATGTATCCCTTCATATTTCTTTCAAATCGTGATAATAAAACCAAAAGTATGAGTTCACCCTTACAGAGCTATTGTTACACAGTAGGTTCCGAAACTAAAAATCAAGGTGTAGAAGGATATATGAGAACATGGAGCTTACACCATTGAAATGTTTCAGATTTCTTGATTGACAACACAATGTTTGAGTCAGAAACTACATGGCAGGTTGACGCTGCTGCAGAGAAACTCAGCAACAGTCTTTTCATGACACCTGGGCCTAACTTTGAAAAGAGTGACAATAGCCAGGTATAGTAACATCATGTATTGTACACCCCAAATCCACACTCTGAAATCAAGGTACTGTTACTACTGTATGGTACAGTTTGAGTATGGTGCTATGGTACCGTAGTTTACGGTACTGAACAGTACCATAGCCAAAATGGTACCATATACAGTACTGTTAGAGATTGGCTGTTTATGTATTTTTAAGTAATACGCTTTGTGTAAAGTATTCAACTTATTGAGGCAATGTTACATGGGTGAAATGGCTAATTTGAGATGGCTTACATATTAAAGAGTAGGCATATTCTTTTAAAGTAGCCTATTTGTAATCAGAAATGTCCAACTGTGAAATATTTTCAATGTATTTGTAGATACATGTATGTACTGTGGTCTATTTTAATTTTTATTCATTTTATGATTATAGGTTAAAAAATCTAGTGCTCGGAAGAAATCAAAGAAGAATAAAAGAAAACAAAACCCTAAAAATGATTCTTCAAATCATCCTACCCCAACCGCAGTCCGACCAGTGGCTTATAGCACACCTCGATTAGCTGCTGGAAACAAACGCAACAAATATAAAAATTTCAGCCAATCAAAAGATGGACAAGTTATCCCTAAGGGCTCAAATGCTGTTCAGTGTGATGAAAAAATCTCAAATGACAGAGACAAAGATGAACTTAAACAAAGTAATGTTTTGACAAAAAAGAAAGGAAAGCATGAGGCTATAAAGAAGAATGAGAAGGTGACAAATAAAGAAAATGGAGTTGATAAAAGTGAGGCCAAATTGGCCAATGGTTCATTAAGGAATAAAACCACGACCCCTGATACTAAAAGTGAGTCATCTAAGAAAAAGAAATTGAAGAAGACCAAATCAAATGAAAGGGATGACGAGAAAATTAAAACCAATGAAAAGACAGAAAGTGAATCAACCGACAGCCAAATTGCAAAGAAAAAGAAGAAGAAACCTAAAAGGAAAGTCCAGCAACAAACAAATGACAATAGCGAGCCTGCTTCTCCTACTCCTGTAGATAAAACTGTGAAATCTAAGAAGAAAAAGACTGAAGGCATTGAGATGACGCCTACCCATGAAATAAAAAAAGTGGAAGTGAATTCTGGTAATTTTGTACGATCGAAGAAAAAACGTAAAAATAAAAGTAAGAATAAATATGCAATGCTTGCAGGTGTCAACAAAGCTGATAAAAAAGATTTCCTGATAAAGTTTAATGTCAAAGAATATGTAGAAAAACTGGAAACTAAAAAGAAAGAAGTTGAAAATGCTGAAAAAACAAATTCAGGTAGTCATAAAACAAAATCGCATAAAAGAAAGAGGAAAGTAAAACAAACTGATGACATTCAAAAGGTTGAAAATGATGGATCATCTAAAGAAGATTTAAATACTGAATTAACTGAGGATCTAAACCAAACCACCGAAACAAATATGTCTAAAAAACTGAAAGCTAAGCATACTCTTTTTAAGAAGGATAAACTTCAAGCAATATTCAATGAAAGACAGCCTGAACCAGACACAGATAAACCTGTGGAAAGTAAAAAAATGAAGAATTCATCAAACAAATCAAAGACCCCACAGACTAGTGAAAAAAAGACTCCCAAGCATTCAGCATTCCACCAAAAAATGGTTGACCAGCTGAATGCTGCGAGGTTCCGCTATCTCAATGAGCAACTTTACACATGTTCCGGTCAAGATGCTTATAAGGTACAGTTGTTTTCCATATACTGTGCATATATACATAGTGATTAGCATAACTAATGAGCAGCACATTATGGTCCTGTTTAACTTCAAGAAGGATTGATCATTTGAATGATGGTGTTTTTGACAACTTCAAAATTTTATCCATTGGTCATGTAACTGAAAGCACTTCAGTATGGCCTATAGACCATTTAATGGGTAACCATTATTGAGAAAATATGGGATAGCCGATATTACTGATGTCTATTTTGTAATCATTTAATGTTTTTATTAAATGTCTTTTTCAGTTATTTTCTGAGGATGAGGCAGCATTTGATGTTTACCATAAAGGATTCCAATCCCAGGTATCAAAGTGGCCCAGCAATCCTGTGGATATAATCATAGAATATATCAAACAACAGTAAGTCATGTGCATGCAATATTGGACAAATATTTCACTCTATTGAGGTGAATACCTGTACATCTTTCACAAGTGATATTCCACGAAGCCCGAAGGGCAAGTGGAATATCACCTTGTGAAAGTGCTACAGGTATTCACAGAAAATAGAGTGAAATATTTGTTTTATTATATCACTCATTCTAGCTAAACATCCCTAATATTATTAAGTCATTAGGTCTTCAGATATTTATACGAATCTACTCGGTTCGTCTGCCATTTTGACTTACACTGAACTAAATTATTTTCACTGAACGAAAACAAATTCTTTGAAAATTCCCGGGAGCATGGGATATCGCTAGATATCTCACGGTTGTCTTATCTGATTAGCATTGCCATTGAATATCGCCAGATATCCCACGACATGTGACCCAGTTTTGACCAATCATACTGTCGCTAGCTAGATAGTGATATAATAATATTGTGTATCTCATATTCCAGGACATGTCAAATTCTAGTACACAGGGGTTTAGGGACATTTTAACTTTTCCATGTTAAATTTCATGATTTTCATTACTTTTGCCTGTTGTTTTCATTATTTACTAGCCTGTTGTGAGAAATTCTAGTGAAATGTTATACATTATATTCTAGAACACGACACATATCAATGTTATTTTATGAAAACATTGTCCCATTTTGGGTGGGATTAGAGGCATTGATTTAAATGGGTAAAATGTTACATTTTGTCATTCAAGTGTTCATTAGCTTTTAAGGCCCCATGAACAGTTTAAACCACATTGGGTTTTATTGTAGTCATACCTATTCTAATGTTAACAAAGTGTGAAATGTGAAGCTTCTTTTCAAAAAGTTCCAAAGGTTTTTTTGCATTTCAAGGACTTTTTCAAAATAAAAAAAGTTTAACCATACATCTTAAAATACTAGGTATCATTGAAACCATGGATCGCAAACATGATAGAATATTCTTTTTAACTCGAGCAATAAAAACAAAAGAATTGGGAAGTTTTGAAATAAATTATGTAGCCTGATGACATTTCAGATTTAAGAAATTCTATGAAAAATTCTGGCTAGGCCAATCTGCAAGTCACTGATTGCTATACAAACATTCATGCCACAAAGTGCAAACATGTATTTAAAAAGTCAGAAAGCCCAACATTCGATGGAAAGCAATCTGTGCTTTTGGGAAAAAAAATCTGATGGTAATGAACTTTTTGATATTTGTTTGTATTCCTACAGGCCTAAGAAGCGTGTTGTGGCTGACTTTGGGTGTGGAGATGCCAAAATAGCTGACTCTGTTCCAAATAAGGTTCATTCCTTTGACTTGGTCGCTGTGAATGAACACATCACAGCATGTGACATTGCAAATGTAAGTATTTGTTACATATAGCTTATAACCCTAAAATATAACATATATAGATTGTGGCAACATAAGATTCCCCAGAATTAAGGAGGATTATTTTATTATAATTTTTTTGAAATTTTTCCCCTCTGAAAATTATGGGTGGAGGGTACAAAATCAATTCTCTCGCCTAAAACACTGTACATGCAGATAAAAATGTTTGAAATAGTTCTCAGATCCACCAAAATAAAATTCACGATTTGTTCCATCCAAAATCATAAGGGCCATTTTTTAGATAGAGGTCTCGTTACCACCTTCAAAATGTAAGTATTCCAAATATATTTTCAATGGGAATCATTGTTATCAAACGAATCAATATTTGCATCACTTGTTACATGTACTTCTTGAATTATATTTTGTTTAATAGGTACCCCTGACAGATGGAAGTGTGGATATAGCAGTATTCTGCCTGGCCTTGATGGGAACCAACCTAGTGGATTATCTCAAAGAAGCCCATCGAGTCCTGAGGAAAAAGTATGCTTTATGTTTTTTATTTGGCTTTATTTATAGCCTCTATGTAGATAGATTTTCATGACAAAGGTAAAGCTTACTGTGAGGGCCTCAAAAGGATTTTGCTTCAATTTTACCTCACCAATTGACCTCACCTCCCTTATGGATCCTGTCTACATCCCACAATGAACTCGTTTTCAATTTTTCTATTCTATGAAATCATTGGTCATGGCAGTGCATTATTGAATGATAAAGCATTTAAAACAAGCAATCTGATTGGTCTGTGATGGTTGAATGATTAGAAAAACTACATGGTGGTACAGTACATAAAACTGGTTTCACTCTTTGAGACACTAATAGTTTTTACTTTTTTATATACTCCATAAAATTTAAAAAAGAAAGTAACGCCAGTTGTAATTCTGTTTATAGGGGTACATTGAAGATTGCTGAAGTTGTAAGTCGGTTCGAGAACTTGAACCGCTTCATTATCCAAGTAGAGAAACTGGGATTCATGCTGGAACGCAAGGTAATAGTTTCTAACTTCAAATGAGCGAAATTCTTTGATTTTGATTTATATATAAAAGACTTTTCTGCATCTTTAACCTTTGTTATTTATTGTTTGCTGATTTGTAAGATATGGATTTTTTGTCTGATAATTTATTGGCAAATATAAAAGTGAGGCTGTGATTTTCTCCATTATCCATCCATCTGTAAACAATTTTCCTAGAAATGAAGATTTCCATTTATGACAAGTGATCATATCAACTTTATGATTGCTCCAAATAACTGATTACTCCATTGGTCCTACTTTAGCCACAGTTTGGAGAAATCTTTTTGTTGTCAAAATATTATTATATTTTACAACATACACAATCACCATGTGAGCCTCCCAAATAGTACTGTTTTTTTCTCGTGCAATGGAACATTATTATAATGATCTTAGATATACTTGCATTGGTTCCATCCAATCCAAGGCATTCCATACTCAATATTATGCCATTTAACTATTTCAGGACGAATCCAATAAAATGTTCGTAATGCTGGACTTTAAGAAAGGAGGTAATATGGACCCATCAGCCGAACCTATACAACTGCTGCCATGTGTCTATAAGAAACGTTAGAATTATGGGACAAGCATAACCCACAGCCTCACTGGAATTTTAGTGCACTGGCATTTTAGTGCATGCGAATGAAATGTCTGTTAAGCAGTACCTTCCTTGTCGTCTGAAAACCACCATGGATTATTTTTTTAACTGTACAAAATTAAATAAATGTTACCTGATCATGCAAGGTAACACAAAATGTTGCTATTTTAAGCTTATTCAAACTGATGACCATGACATTGTCATTTTATGACTCCACTTGGGTGATATATAGCTTCAGAATACATTGCATTTTTACATCTATTCATTCTGATGACCTTAATCTATAAATGTGACAATATTGATTATGACTCCACTCGGGTGATTTGTATCTTCAAGAAGGTTTACAATACTTTTATGAGATGTTCATTGTTTTTATTATGATAATTAGTATAATATATCACTGGTACTCAGATTTGATACACAGTAAAACCTGTCTCAGTGAACACCTCACTCTATTGAACACATGTGTCTAGTGAACACCTTTCTCAGCACATACTCAACTGTATAGAATTGCCTCTCTGTAGTGAACACCACACCTCCCTACAGTCACACTTTTTTGTGGCTTCATAGGTGTTCACTGTACACAGGTTTAAATGTATATGTATAATCATATATGTTCTGCAGTATGCTATTCAGTTTTGTTATGTATGTTTCATACATGATTGACATTTAGTGTTGTGTATACTGGTATGTTATTGATTTTTTGTGTTTTTTGCTATGTATGATTATCATATAGCACTCAGATTTGATATAGAAGAAGTAAAGCTAATTTTGTTCTAAAATTGTTCTAAACATTTTGCAACATCTATATCCAAAACTTGCACAGGAGTAGCATAATACTTTCCACTTATGTCACGAATTACAATTTGACAGGAAAGTAATCACTCTATAATAGACTATAAGGATTTCTGGTGACATAAGTATTTTCTGATTCTATATTCGCAGGTTTATTGAGGTTTTTGTCACACCCCATGCAGACAGATCGACTAAATTACATTTGTATGATGCGAGACTCGACATTCACCATGCCATCCATGAAGCAAATTAACACTGCTTTATAAATGGTGAATGTCACATAAGTATGATGTGTACTTCAAGATAATAAAGTAATACTAGTGTCATACTAATCTCCAATCATAAGTTCGAATAATATTTGCCTTCCAAATATTAATTGTGCGACATATACGAGACCAATGTTAATGCTACCAGGGGGAATCGGACCTGTAGGCCTTACAATTTATACATGTTTTTTTGTGTTTCCGAAAATTCAATATGTGATATATACTTTTTAGTTCTTCAAAGAAATCTACAAATATTTTGTTGCGGTTTTATCTTTACATCGTTTTTTCAAACACCGCCATCACTTTTCATATAAAAAATATCAAGAATTCATGCTATTCTCATACTTATAAAACTTAATTTGGCTGTCATTCACCATTAATTTGCTCCATTGGTGACAAATTATTTCAAGTTTCCTGGTGAGTGTCGAGTCTCACATCATACGAATGTAATTTAAGTCGCCTGTATGCATTTTGTCGTGTGCAGGATTACTAGAGAGATTCAAAGTTATGAATGAGATTTGTTTTAGTTTATAAGTAAACTCGTGCAGAAATCAAATGATGGTGATTACAAAAATCAGCTATATGACCAATCAGTTGACAATACAGTCATATAATTATGTAAATTATATTGTACTAGTATGAGCCTCTGAAATATTAGTTTCAATAAGTAATAAATCTTTAAACTGATAATGTAAATTCAGGTTTGTACACTGATCTGTCTGTGACCAAGTCGATACTTTTGCGTGTTTGTAACTTGAATCAAAAGATGGCATTTTTTGGTGCTCATGCTTGTACTGATGAATCCTATTGAAAGCCCATGCTTGAACTGATGATTTCCATTGAAAGACCATGCTTGTACGATGAATCCCATTGAAAGCCCATGCTTGTACGATGTGTCCTGTTGAAAGCCAATGACTGAACTGTTGAATCCCATCCCCGGCGAAATGAATGTGAATTAATCATGAATATTCAGGTATAATTCATGGGAATTCATGAACTTTTTTCATGAATAATTCATCAATGAAGAATATTAAAGAATAAATATACCTGAACTATTCATGAATATGACTGAAATACAATTTGGACTCATGAAATATTCATGAACTGTATATTCATGAAATATTCATGATATCACATTCCTTAAAAATTCATGAAAAGTAAGCCTCATATTTCTTGAAATATTCATGAGAAATAAGCCTCATATTTCTTGAAATATTCATGAAAAAAGCAAGCCTCACAGTTCTTGAAATATTCACCACCTGTATATTCATGAAATATTCATCACCTCTATATTCTTGAAATATTCATGATATTCTATTCCTCAATATTCTTGAAATCTTCTCCAGGTTTAGCTTCATTTTTCTTGAAATATTCCTCAACTGCATATTCATGAAATATTTATCACCTGTATGTTCATGAAATATTACTCAATGAAAAATAAATATACCTGAACTATTCATGAATATGACTGAAATACAATTTGGACTCATGAAATATTCATCAACTCTATAGGCTATTCATGAAATATTCATCACCCGTATATTCTTGAAATATTCATGATATTCTATCCCTCAATATTCTTGAAATCTTCTCCAGGTTTAGCTTCATATTTCTTGAAATATTCATGACATTATATTCTTCAACATTCTTGAAATCATCTCCATGTATACGACCTCATATTTCTTGAAATATTCACCAACCGTATATTCATGATATATTCATAACATTATATTCTCCAAAATTCTTGAATAATTCATGAATTAACTCACATGTATGTTCATGAACTATTACTTAAATGAAGAATAAATATTCATCACCTGTGTATATTCTTTTCCTCAATGTTCTTGAAATCTTCTCCAAGTTTAGCTTCATTTTTCTTGAAATATTCCTCAACTGCATATTCATGAAATATTTATCACCTGTATGTTCATGAAATATTACTCAATGAAAAATAAATATACCTGAACTATTCATGAATATGACTGAAATACAATTTGGACTCATGAAATATTCATCAACTCTATAGGCTATTCATGAAATATTCATCACCCGTATATTCTTGAAATATTCATGATATTCTATCCCTCAATATTCTTGAAATCTTCTCCAGGTTTAGCTTCATATTTCTTGAAATATTCATGACATTATATTCTTCAACATTCTTGAAATCATCTCCATGTATACGACCTCATATTTCTTGAAATATTCACCAACCGTATATTCATGATATATTCATAACATTATATTCTCCAAAATTCTTGAATAATTCATGAATTAACTCACATGTATGTTCATGAACTATTACTTAAATGAAGAATAAATATTCATCACCTGTGTATATTCTTTTCCTCAATGTTCTTGAAATCTTCTCCAAGTTTAGCTTCATTTTTCTTGAAATATTCCTCAACTGCATATTCATGAAATATTTATCACCTGTATGTTCATGAAATATTACTCAATGAAAAATAAATATACCTGAACTATTCATGAATATGACTGAAATACAATTTGGACTCATGAAATATTCATCAACTCTATAGGCTATTCATGAAATATTCATCACCCATATATTCTTGAAATATTCATGATATTCTATCCCTCAATATTCTTGAAATCTTCTCCAGGTTTAGCTTCATATTTCTTGAAATATTCATGACATTATATTCTTCAACATTCTTGAAATCATCTCCATGTATACGACCTCATATTTCTTGGAATATTCACCAACTGTATATTCATGAAATATTCATAACATTATATTCTCCAACATTCTTGAATAATTCATGAATTAACTCACATGTATGTTCATGAACTATTACTTAAATGAAGAATAAATATTCATCACCTGTATATATTCTGTACCTCAATGTTCTTGAAATCTTCTCCTAGTTTAGCTTCATTTTTCTTCAAATATTCCTCATCTTAAAGTATTAGCATATAAAATTTGAACCAAATCCATCTATTGATAGTTGATTTATCAACAAGCAAAGCTCCTTTGTCCCTACCCCAGCGAAATGGCATTGAATAATTCCTGAATATTCATGAATTATACATCAATATTCATGTAAAATATTAATGAATAATCCACCAATGAAGAATAAATACTTCATGAATATGCGTGAACATCAATTGAACATCAATTTGGACACTTCCCGAAAATTCTTCAAATTGAATTACTTGAATATTCATGAATAAACTTTCATGGACTTTTGTGTTTTCCCGCCTAAAACAATCATTTCCTTTCTGAGGAATTCTGGGATAGGTTATGATTCATAATTCTTCAAATATTCTTCAAATGAGGTGGTGAAAAAATGAAGAATATCTAAGAACATATTAATTCTTCATTATTATTCAAATATCCTTTAAACAAAGTGGTGAAAATATGAAGCATTTTCAAGATTTTCATAAATGCAAAATGTTATTTTTTATTCTTCAAGTACCCTACAAATGAGGCCATGAAAAATTGAAGAATATCTTAGAACATAGTAGTTCTTCATTATTATTCAAATGTCCCTTTAACAAATTGTTCCCATGTTACAAAAGAGCTTCAATTTCATGTTTTTCTTAAAGTTATTAAACATTTTCCCCAATATTCCTCAAATATTCTTCAAACAGAATGGAAAAAAGAAGAATTTCTAAGAATAAATCTTTAGATAAAAATAAAATGGCTGATTTCTATATGAAAACTCCAGATCTTGAGATATCTCCTCTCTAGGTGGAAATAGCTATCTAATTATTGATCTAAACAAGAAGATATGTGTCACCTACCTTTTGGCATATGTTCCTGTTTCTCTCTCCACATATTTTAAGGACATGTTCCTTTTTAACAAGAGCTTCAATTTCATGTTTTACTTATGTGTTTTTTCCCGCCTAAAACAATCATTTCCTTTTTGAGGAATTCTGGGATAGGTTATGATTCATTATTCTTCAAATATTCTTCAAATGAGGTGGTGAAAAAATGAAGAATATCTAAGAACATATTAATTCTTCATTATTATTCAAATATCCTTAAAACAAAGTGGTGAAAATATGAAGCATTTCCAAGATTTTCATGAATACAAAATGTTTTTTATTATTCTTCAAATACCCTTCAAATTAGGTGGTGAAAAATAGAAGAATATCTAAGAACATATTAGTTCTTCATTATTATTCAAATATCCTTTTAACAAATTGGTGAAAATATGAAGAATTATCAGGATATCCAAGGATGCAAAATCTCCTTTTGTATTCTTCAAATATCCTTCAAATTAGGCGGTGCAAAGGTGAAGAATATCTGAGAACATATTAGTTCTTCATTATTATTTGAATATTCTTCATCAACATGGTGAAAATATCAAGGATTTCCAAGATTTCAAAAAATACAAAAGGTTCTTCATTATTCTTCAAATATTCTTCAAACATTTTGGTGAGAATATGAAGAATATTTAAGAATATAAATATTCTTCAGTATTATTCAAATATCTTTCACACAAGGTAGTGAAAAAAGAAGAATATCTACGAACAGAAATGTTCTTTATTATTCTTCAAATATCCTTCAAACAAGGTGGTGAAAAAATGAAGAATATCTAAGAACAGATGTGTTCTTCATAATTATCCAAATATTCTTCATTCAGCATGATGAAATTATAAAGAATTTTCAAGGACATAAAATTTTCTTTATTCTTCTTCAATTATTCACCATAGAAATTGAAGAATATTCAGGAACATAAATTATTCTTTATTTTTCTTCAAAAATACAAGAATATGGTTAAATCTTTATTCCCCACAATTCATATCGATATTACAATATTCATCACACCTGAATATTCATGAATAATTCAAGAATATTCATATCACAAGAATATCATTTCGCCGGGGATTGAAAGACCATGCTTGTACTTATGAATCCCATTGAAAGACTATGCTCGTACTGTTGAATCCAATTGAAAGCCCATGCTCGTACTGTTGAATCCCATTGAAAGCCCATGTTTGTACTGATGAATCCCATTGAAAGACCATGCTTGTACTGACGAATCCCATTGAAAGCCCATGTTTTTACTGATGAATCCCATTGAAAGACCATGTTTGTACTGATGAATCCCATTGAAAGACCATGCTTGTACTGTTGAATCCCATTGAAAGCCCATGCTCGTACTGTTGAATCCCATTGAAAAACCATGCTTGAATTGATGAATCCCATTGAAAGACCATGCTTGTACTGATGAATCCAATTGAGGGACCATGCTTGTCAAAAAGGTGAAAAGCTCCCATTCAAACCTCATGCTTGTATCCATGAATACCACTGAGAGCCTATCCTTGTACGATGAATCCTATTGATTCAAAATTGTAATTAGCCCAGAATTTAGCAGGCTTTCATTAATGATGTATGCAATCTAATATTCACACCGGAATAGCCTGACAACGGTTAAGTCAGATACAGTTGTCACAAATGGAGGACATAACCGTCGCTTCAACTGTTTAATCACTTTGCCCTCATTTCATGGGATTTTATCGTCGCTAATTCTGTGGATGTATTAAGCTCTTGTGATGATGTTTCATATGAAATCCCAATTTTGATCAAATTGTTGCAAAGGAATTTAGTCTAGGTGCTCTATTAAACATACAGTTCATGAAAATCTAATTGAAGCGACGGTTATGTCCGCCATTTGTGACAACGGTATCTGACTACCGTTGTCAGGCTATTCCGGGGTGAGATTGGGGGTTGATGGGGAACAGTCATTACGAAATACCCTGAATAGTCGTATTATTTTTAAGTCGATATCCTGATTTATACTTTAAGTATTGCTCAAAAGCATTTACTTGGTATGTCTGAACACTAATTATTTATCTTAAACCAGCCAAAGGTCAGTCACAAGCCTGACGACAGAGACAGCCAAGCTTATACTACCCAAAGCTCCATCCCAATCATCAGCTCACGAACAGTCCTATAGATGTAGCAAAGCACTTGATGTTTATACACAAATATAAAAATGATTCTGATCCCTTCATAAACGTACACTCAGCAGCATGCTAATCATGATAGACATCTTTATTCTTTTCAACAGATTTCATTGCGACACTACCGATGGGAATTTCCATTGCATTGTGAATCACTGTCATTTTGTTCCAAGATTAATTTCTGACAAATCTCTCTCAATTTAGCCTTAGATACCTGGAATGAAAATGTGAAACTATAAAGTTTAAAAACGCATTAGAAACGCATTTATGTTGTAAATAGTTAAAATCTCATCATTAAATAATAAATATACATGTATATAAAATTAACCTTCTTCCTGATTCCAACGCGTGGAAAAGCACCCATGATGAAGATATGGTCCGGCTGATCTCGCTTTATCAGTTCCACCTGACAATGCTCTTCCATTTCATCCTCTTTCATATCCTCGCCTGGTTTAAGGCTGTAATTACCAATTAAGAACTAAATTTTATTTAAACTAGATCTGTGCGTATACTGTGAATAACGCTTTACTATATCAGTACAATATACACCCTATACGAAGAGATCGCATCCAATGTAATGGTAGAATCTCTTCTCATAGAGTGATATAACTAACTATAACTATACGGTTACAATACTCGATGGACTGAATGGAACAGATATCATACTATTCCGAAAGATAATTACAATACTGTATACAATTTAGACTGGAAATGACTAGTTTATAGCATATAACCACTATGGTACTCAAAATAAAAACGTTCTATTCGTGAATGCAGCTTTAGCCTGTCGGCTACCGGATTAATCTCCCGTTTTATGACCAACTCATTTAAATACGAATGGAATATAGTGAAAGTGGCAGGTACTTGTCATATTTAAATGAGCTGCCCATAAAATAGTAGGTTAGAACTTTTTGAACACACGTTTCTCTTAAACCAGTCATAGAAAAATCTAAAAATTTAACACATCGTCAATTTAATGGTTATCTTTTGAATGGTAACAATATAATTTGAATTATATATACGTATATACTTTCATCTATATTGTTTTAGAACACATGTCAAACACTTGTTTTGGAACAAAACGACATAAACACAACATGTTTGAGTCTCTCAATATTATAATTATGCAAAGGAAATTTTGGTTGATTTTAGAAAAGTATCTTTTTAAAGTCCCCTACTTTGAAAATATTTTTTATCATTCATTTACTATTTGTCATGACTTCAAAAGTTATTTTAGAGATTTTTGAAAAATAATTTTAAAAAAAAAGTTGTGAGCATTTCATTTCTCAAACATTCGAATTGAAATTTTTTAATCATCAAATATTTCTTAATGTATTTCAAAAAAGAATATCTTTTTAACACCAATGCAAAGATTGAACAAAGGACACGCTATTTCAATGGGCCACTTCAATGTTTTAGCATATCAAAAATATTTTGAAACATTAGTGCTAAGGTGGCAAAAACTTTTTGAAAAAAATTGAAATTTCTTTTTCGATGTCAATCTTTTCTAAATATCAATAATAAACCAATGTTGATTGTCTAACCAAGTTAAAAGGAAGAATATATTATGTTTTAGATATCATTGTACAATTGGTTTCTATGAGAACTAAAGTTTTTAAATGCATTTATCTCGGAACCATTTTCATGCACTGATAAGTTCATTTCTCGCTTATTTATGAACCAATTTTCTTAATTTTTTTCGGCTAAAAAACACGCGCGGATGAATGCTATGCATTGGTATGAATTGTGGCTAATTAAAAGATATTTGTGATCTCTAAAAGTTAGTTTTAAATAAATTCACACATTTTGGAACAAAAAGTTTATCAAAAACCACTTTTTGAAATTAAAAAAAAAAGTTTCACATATCACACTTTGATAACATAGGGTAAGACTACAATATAAGCCAAAGTGATTTAAACTTTACATGGGGACTTTAATGAAATAAAAGGTTTATCTTGATTTTTATCTATTTTGGGGGGATTTTGTTTTAATTTTTGAATACTTAGTTTTTAATATCAACCAAAAATTCCTTTGTATAACTATAATATTGAGAGGTCTAAAAACATGTTGTTTATGCTCTTTTGTTCCAACAAGGTTCGGAAAGAAATTTTATTACATTCTAAAGAATTGGTAGAAAGGGGCAAAAACAATTGCACTAAAAAAACCAAAAAATGTTAACAAAAACAGTTATATAAAATATTTCTAAATAATTTTCGCATTAGATTGTTGTCAATCAGTCAACATTACATAAAATACCGTGTTTTTACAAAAGGTTTTCAATGATTGGTTAATGGAAAAATATTGTTGAATTCAGTTCTCCATATCGATGTCACTCCTTTCAAAAATATTTGATTTTTGAAATAAAAAATGATGATTCTTATATCTCAGCGTATTTAATTCCCTACAGGCTGCAGCACAAATGACTAGGGAAAAGTAGGCCAAGTCAGGTGAACACCATAGAATGTTTGATTTATTGTTCAAATGTGATTCATATGAGGAAATACAACGTGGTATATACTTTATATATATTCAACAATTTGTCCACGAAGCAGATCTTGCAAACCAAAATCGCTGATTTTTAAATCGTTCCGATCTGACAACATTTAGGAAAGCAAAAACGTCTCAGAAATAAAGTACACGGTTACGCGAAAGTGTGGCCTTCCCCCCCCCCCACCCACCCTAGGCAGACATATACCAATGTCTCCATAGTATGTGTCATATATCATTTTAAAGATCATCCAAATTGATCTGCCAAGAATCACGGTTCAACTTACAAATGGGAAAAAGTTACAAGCATTTCAAAATTTAGTGTTTGGCCAAAATTAAAGTCAGTTTTACACCAAAATAATAGTCGGTGTGTCTCTCTACATGCCCTAAGCCATGTTAACGGCAGCGATGCTTTCCGTATATGACCTTAAACATGCTTCAAATAGGGAATAGGCATTTTGTAATCCTCATAAAACCTTTCAATATCCATCCTTTTGTTGACAATAGCACCCACATCTTCGGTCACAGTCAGGTTAGGGCTGTTTCCAGGATACTGAAATGAACTATATTTTTGGCCAAACATTAAGTTTTGAAATGCCTATAACTTTTTGCCATTTGTGAGTTGAACCATGATACTTAGCAAATCAATGTATGTTTGGATAAGCTTTAAAATGATATGTGACACAAACTATGAAGACATTGGTATATGTCCGCTTAGGGGGGCCCATACTTTCGGGACACATTGTATTTATAGCTCCCATGATCAGTGTACACTCTTACATGATTTGAAGGTTATAATGGAGGCAATGGTATGATAGAACATATACATTGAGTAAATACGATCTGATACATAATATAAGGATAACTTACATAATACAGAGAAAAACGTCATCCCCAATACAATCATCATCGTTCTTAATGCCCACACACTTAAAGAAAAAAGTATACATGAATTTACATTGAGACGCCAGTCTCAGATTTATCACGTTTATAGAAGGATAAATGCAGACAAATATAAATAATATCTAACATATAAAATGACAGACGTGGACCGTTGTGAATTGGGATTAGTTCGAGTACACGAAGACGGTTGATCGTCATTATAACCCCAATTCAATATAAACATAAATCGGGTGTCCCAAAAAGTGAAACACATTTTGACAAGTATTTTTCAACAGTTGATAAACCAAATTCACTGAAAAGAAGCATAAAGTAGCCCAGGAGTATCGTGAGCAAGTTACAATAATATAAAAGTATCAAGTAAATATTATGTGAGCACTAAGAAATTCAAGAAAGCATGTAAAAAGCGCAGAGCAACGGAATGAGAACTTCATGTACGTATCAAAAATGGGAAGCAATTTGACAAGTAATTTCTCACTAATAGATACGCCACAAATTCTTTGAAAACGTTACTTTTGACACTTTAGGACATCTTTAGCTAGTGCTATGAATATATAAGAGATTGTCCAAAAATCAATGCAAAAGCTTAAGTCACCTATTAATCCGCAACCAAGCAAAACTACCTTTCCATATTTACTCTAACAATATCACCTCCAATATATTTTGAGAATGAATGGATTTTGGAACAATGAAAAATTTAATTAGACGTGACACGCTGACAAGCTATTTTGACTGTTTGACAGATGCTATCTCCTGATAGCTAGAACAAACACAATGAAGCTCTCATTGCAGAGCTCTGGTATGGGATTTTATGACATGCTATTATGAATTTCTCCGACTCGCATTACATCCACTTGATTTTACAAGGTAGAGATTAAAAGGTGGATTGGATCGAGTGGATTGGATTCATGTAAAAAGCGGATTGGATCAGGAATCATTAACATATGGAATTTCGTTTCCCTCTAAGCAATTTCCCTCAAAGGAATTTTGTGATCATGATCACTTGGGTCCCTTTGAGGAATCAGAACAAAGCAACAAGAAATACATACTCCAATTACTTGTAGTTAACTGCTTCCCCATGTAAATCAACCGTTTTGTAAGACATAGTAAACATACACTGATCTGTAGATAAAAGCTGCCATTCAAATTGAGGCGTGGATGTTCCCAAAAACATTTCTGCTATGTTCTGTTTGGACTGAAAACAGATGATATGGATCTTCAAACCAGTCTGCCTTAGGATTTATAAAATGTTTAATTTATTACCCTTGGAATAAATAAGATTGTGTATTAGAAAGCGGATACGAGGTCAACCTAGCTTCTAGCCCATCCAAGGAAAACAATATTACATCTAGCTAAGAAAATAAATGTCAAAAATGTCTTACTTTTTGGGACACCCGATATGTTACAAGTTTCACCCTTTGTGTGTAGTCATTTGACGACATTTTATAGAATTGGTAGACGCCGAACGATATAAAGTTGTAGTCAGTCCCCCTCTTCTTCAGAATAAATATGTCTCATAGTTTACGCCTTTGTCATACAATGTAGTTTATCATTTGTTCAAAATAATTCTGATTATATTTTTTTCTTTACTGTCTTTAGCCTTACTTTGATTTCTATCGTGTGAGGTAGCTCATCTGACATTATATTGAATCGTACATTTTCCCGTGGAGTTGACCAACGCCAGGTATTGCTTATTTCGATAGGAATTTTCAATTTCTCGTGACTACGCAAATCCACAGCCGCATGTTTCGCAGGATTTTGGTCGCAGTCGCTCCGACGTCGCCTTGAAAAATTACTCATCGCTTCCGCAAAAATTGCTCTTGCGACGTCGCTGCGACTGCGATCGGCTTGTGTTAGCTTGATGAATGAAATTCCCCGTTTCATCTCGTTATACCTGTGCCTCTGCTACTTTGTTGTGCTTAAGAGCTGCGGCCTCAATTACGCCTGGATAGATAACGTCGCCCATCTTCTTGAATCTTATATTATCAGCTTTTCGCCCAATGAAATAAAGGAACCCATTCTGATCCATTCTCGCAACATCACTAATGCAATAAAAAGAAACAACTAGTTAGTTAACTTTAGTTATCTCGGTTCACTTTTGAAATCGACTTAAATATGACAAATTTTTACCGAAGTCCATGAGGGAGAACCAAAAAGTAACCCTTAAAATCCATCCATAAAATCGGAACGGTCGGAAATAGACAAATTAAACTTTTCAGAATGAAAGAACAATCTCAATCGTGCAAAATTTGATCTTAAACCCATGCTGGATGACTGAGTTATTAACATTTGGGTTACTTTTTGGCTCACCCTGTATATCTTCTATTGTATTATTTTGTAGATTGACGTAATGATGTTAGCAAAGTGTTCCCAAAATCGTGCGATATGTAGTATAAATCGAACAACTTACCCAGTTCTGTACCAACCGTCTTCATCCTTTACTGTTCTCGTTCTCTCAGGTTCACCCATGTACTCAATGAAGATAAAGGGTGACCGCGTACAAAGCTCTCCGGGTTCCCCAATGGGAACTACGTTATGTTGGTCGTCTATAAGCTTTACCTGTTAGGAAAAACAAAAAGTTCGTTGTAATCGATTGTTTTTTTGAATAAACAAGTGATGGAACCCCAGTATTATGACCTAGTAAAAAAAGCATTGGTGATCCACTTGATTAGGCTGGTTGCGGTTACAAAATGTCGGAACCTCGAAGGTACGCTTTTTCTTTTTTCCTTATTTCATGTTCACGAAAATACACATGTTTGCGAACAAGTAGTTCAGAAGTCAACAGAATCTTCGATTTAATACCCCACTGTTACTACGTAAACGGACGGCGTTAGAAGTGCAGATTTTAACCGTTTTTGATGTCATGTATACGTAACAAAAGTAAAGTATTAAATCGACGATTCCGTTGTCTTCTGAATTATTTGTTCGCAAACATATACATTTTCTTAAACATATGATACAGACACACGTTTGAGACAAAAACTGTCGTGGAAATTCTGCCCACAATGCGAGAACTAAGGAAACAAAGAAAACGAAAGAAAATAGTATCTTCGAGGTTCTGACATTTTGTTACCGAAACGAACCTTTTCGATAGCAAGCGTTATCGAGTGGACCAGCAGTGAAAAGGTACGTGAGATTGTATAGACATATTCAAATAACAAAACATATGGAACAATATATTGAAATGCACAAATTTACACGTGTCGCACTAAAAATCAAAACAACGTATTCGGACACAAGGTGACAAATATGTAGACTATATATATGAAATGCAAAACAGAGTGTTCCCGTACCTCTACACGCGCAACTGGAAATCCAATGGACCCCAACCTCCTCTCCATTAAAGGATCGTCTTTAAAGTTTGCAGTGACAATGCTTGTCTCTGTTGACCCATATACATTCTGAAGAATTGCAGAACAAAATATCAGATATTGAGAATCATCCAATCCATTCTGAAAGCTGTATCATCACATAACCCGTCTTGCAAATTGACACAGCTAAACGAGATAAAACTTACTAGGGTAGTCTCAACGATCATGCCGTTTTAGATTTTAGAATTTAGGATTATTACCATGAATTCAGGAACAAGTGCTGTAAATGATTTCACTGATTCAACGCCTAATGCCTGAGAACCCGTAAATCCTATAATGTAAAGTGATATGTATAATGATAACACATATTATCTTTGAACCCGAGTGTCTTCGCTTCCTGGGCTTCGCTTATGTCTTCAAGAATACTGTTCTTCCTTAATCCATTCAATGCATACAGATTAATTCATGGTTGACATTCTATATGAATTTTATTCCTGATCATCAATCAATTCATCAATCATGAAAAGACCAAACTGTATTCCATGTATACAGAGTGTCTTTACGGAAAAGTGAGATGAAGAACATACCCCCTTTCAGTCTTGACAGGCCATGCCCATCTATTGAACCATGAAGTATCATATCCTTCCACATGTAAGGCAAAAGGTCTGCGTGTGTTATACTATACTTCTCAATGGCGTCAACGATCACGTCACTTATAGCTCCTTCACATTGCTTATTGACAGGAGTTACAACACAAGTAACATCGCTGTTAACTGTCGCGGAGATTATACCCATAACGCTCAGCACGTCATCATCCAAGGGATTCTCTATACCCAATACAACCTAATGATCAAAGATACATCAATGACAGACGTAGTAGGATTTGACTGAGTACAGGTTTAGATAAAAAATCTGAAGAAATCCCTATTATAGCTCGACATGATTGTGTTAATGCTGAGGGAGATGCTTTATTTATTGAACTTAAGCTCCACCACAAGAGCATTATATATGGAGTTTTTTACCGTTCCCCTTCCCAAGATACTCAACAGTCTTAAGCATATTTTAAAAGATTTTATGATACCTGCTCCAACATCTTGACTAATGCCAATGCTGACCTGCTTGTCATTAATGGCGATTTTAATGCTCGCAACAAAATTTGGTGGGACGCTGACAATGAAAACTTTACTGGAAATGAGCTTAATAACCATCTTCAAAGTCTGGGTTTTTCACAGTTAATTGACCAACCAACTCGTGTCACAAATAGAAGCCAATCCTGCATTGATCTTCTTATCACTAATCAACCAAATCTTATATCCTCTTCAAATGTTACACCTCCAATCGGAAATACTGACCACAGCACTCTAGTCTGTACTTCATTTATTGGTACAGTGAAGGAACTGCCATATTTCCGTAGAATTTGGTCATATTCCGAGGCTGATGTTCAAAATATCAACGACTCAATTAGAAATTCAAAACTTGACCAACTTATTGAAAATTCATATGATATGGACATGTTATGTGATCAATTTACAAACCAACTCTACCAAATATTTACCAATACCATTCCAAATAAACTTATAAAGGTCCGGAGCAATGATAAACCATGGTTCAAACCTCACATTAAAACACTAATTAATAAGCGGAATCGTCTACATTTCAAATACCGCCACAACAACAATCAAGAACGCTATCAAAAGTACAATGACCAGTGTGATATTGTTAACGAGGAAATAACAAAGGCCAAACTTGAGTATGAATCACACATGTATGAGAAATTAAACTCCCTTAAATATGGCAGCAAGTCTTACTGGTCGGTCATATCTAAACTTTTATTCAAAACTAAAGTTGTTAGGATTCCTATTTTGACCAACTAAAACGGCTCTTCTATATTCACCAGCACAGAAAAGGCTAATTTATTTCTTGACCATTTCATCAAAAATTTTCATTCTGATCATAACGTAGATACAGACAGTGTTCAATTTGACCTTAGAACTGATTCTTTTTTAAACATCCTTTCAACAAATGACAGAGAGATTTATGAAATTCTTTTATCACTCGTTAGCAAAGCTTTAGGTCCTGACAAACTAAGTAATAAAATGCTCAAGTTAGCAGCTCCATCTTTATCAAAATTATTTTCTAAATTTCTCAATAAGATGTTTGAAATGAAAAAAAATTCCTAATTCCTGGAAACTAGGGAATATTATCCCATGCCATAAAAAAGTGACAAAAACCTTGTTTCTAATTACCGTCCAATAACTTTATTAAGCTGCCTTTCAAAGGTAGCTGAGAGAGTTATTTTTAAAAGGATGTTTGACCATTTGCTAACAAACAATCTTCTATTTAATTTTCAAAGTGGATTTCTTCCAGGTCACAGTACACAACACCAACTACTAAGTATTCTTGATTTTTTAACTTCTAATATGGGTAATGGTAATGATGTTCGTGCAGTCTTTCTTGATATATCGGCCCCCTTCGATACTTTACCCCATAAGCTATTACTTAAGAAGCTACATGCATACGGTTTTGGTTCAAATATAATGCTACTTATTGAATCTTATCTTACCAATCGAAAAGTAAGAGTGCTTATTGACGGACATGAATCTCCATGGTCAACCAGCGACTATATCAATTCGGGGGTTCCCCAGGGGTCCATCTTAGACCTTTGCTATTTTTAGTTTACATAAACGATTTACCTGATGATATTTTAAGCAAATGTTTTCTGTATGCAGATGACACTTCTCTTTATCAGCCCTTCAGCCATGATAATATGCCTGAATGTATAAACACCCTCCAATCTGATCTAAATTCTATAAACAATTGGTCTGATAAATGGCAATTAAAATTCAAACCCTCTAAAAGTGATGATTTGACATTTAGTAGTCCAAAAAAAGAATGAAATAATAAACCCTGACCTAAAATTGGGAACTGAATCCATACCTAGGTGTGTTTCACATACACACCTTGGCTTTATCTTTGACTCTGAATTATCTTTCAATTTCCACATTACCCATCTTGCAAAGAAAATTGATAAGCTTTTAAATCCACTTAAAGCATTAAGTAAAAAACTTAGTGGAAACCATCTAAATCTTATGTTCAAATCTTTTATCTTACCACATTTTGATTTCTGCGACATCCTCTATGGATGTGCAGATATTTCCAAATTAAAACGCATTGACCAACTCTACTACAAGGCAGCTCTGATTTGTAGTGGAACTATTCATGGGTCATCTTCTGAAAAGGTGCTCAATATTCTAAATTGGCCTAAACTAGAGACTAGGAGGAAGTTTCATCGACTAACCCTCATGTTCAATGTCCAAAATCAGAAAGTTCCTTCATATGTTCAAAACATGTTTGATAAATATAAGAGACAACAACCTCCTCTCTATTTGAGAAATCCAACTGAATTTGTCTTGCCTGCTAAAAGATCTGTGATATTAAAGAAAACATGCATTTTTACAGCTATCTCAGAATGGAACAAACTACCCCAACAACTCCAAGAGATAGACAACTTAAGTACTTTCAAATCTAAATTGACACTTCTCATTTATCCAGAACCTATCATACCAGAGGAGGAAATCAGTCTTATTAGGACTAGAGTCTACTTGATTTTTCAATCTCATTTTCATGCCCACAATTTTACTCTAGCTGATACACCAAAATGTAAGTGTGGATTCAAAAGTGAAACATCCAAGCATGTCATCTTTAACTGCAGACTCCGTAGGACCCTTCTAACTGACTTCGAAATTAAACTAAATAACCTTGAAATCCAATATAAAAAGAATTTTAAGACCCAACAAGAGAAATTGAATTTCTTTCTTTTTGGCAGCTCAAAATTTAACTACGTTACAGACATAACTGTTCTTGAAACTAGTGCATCTTTTCTCCAGAAGTGTCTGGGTGTTAGCAGCAATTATCAAACCTTCTATGCTTAATTTATTCACCAATTTGTTTCACCAAATGGATTGTTTTTTTTAATAAATTTTGTTAATTAACCCTGCGACTTATAATGTTAAACCGAGTCGCCTTTTTGGAAATTTTCTTTTAACATATATTATTGTATTAAATAAAACATGATAAATCAAAAAATAAAAAAAAGATAAAAAATAATGATGTAGACATGTCATTGGCGTAGCCATGTGTAGGAGTCAAGCGAGACAGTTGTCCCGCTAAAAACAAGAAGCACCTTTAATGACTATATTTTGATAGGACCTCCTACCCTTTTACACCTAGGTCATGGTACTTCATTTCCAAGGGAATTTCATATATATTTACGACTTGACATACGACTGAACGCATCACGGTAGAAGACATTGTCCACAGAATCAATGTTACACACAAACGTTTACATACCCTCCCTTGTGCATTTCTACGGTGATGGAGACTGTAAGATGTGTTCACCATACTCCTATGTCCATGCAGCACTGCCTTTGGTTCTCCAGTTGTTCCCTGTGAATTCAAAACGTAGTGATCATATTTGATGAAGTCAAGAAACGAATCAATCTGCGTTCAAGCATTTGGTTTCCAAAGTATGATATCGAGGACTCTTGGTACCAATTTTTACGGTAGTTTATCATTTTTTCCCGTGAAAATACTTTAGGTTGGCAGGTATGAGTTATGACATTTTAAACGACTTGAACAAAGTCCAAGATCAATCACAGATACACTTACAGTAGATATGAAAACTATACAAGGATCCTCGGGTGAGACCATATTTTGGACTACTGACAATTGCTTATCAGTTGTACTGGTCTCTGCAAAAATATCACGCAATCCCTTGTCTCCATTACAACCATATACAACTACTGCACAGAGTGAAGGAACTTCAGGCATATGGTCAAATGTGTTCACACTTCCACTTCTTACAAGCATATTTGGAGCGATTGTCTTCAGTGCTTCAGTCAGTGACGTGTTTCGCTCATTTATGATAAGGATCTTTGCGTTTACTTTATTTATGATCTGTTTCAGAGATATATGTTGTGGTTCGTACATGTAAGGCTAAAAATAGAAAACACTGTTATTCATTTGCATTTAAAAATAAAGAAATCAAGTGACTATTGTCTTGGCTGTTTCCGCAATATTTTGGCTCGACTATGATCCATATTGACATTTATCTTTATCCATCTGTACAGTAGGATATCTCACTGTTCCACAACTAGTTACTTTGACGGAACGTCAATGTAACAAAATGGATGAACTTCCTGGTTACGAGTTTTTAGTTTTCTCGATTCAAACCTACTTATAAGTCAAGTAGCAGAGTATAATTTGACACAAAGCTAGAAAATATAGTCTAGTTTTAATACGTTTCGTCGGTTTGGAATTCGTTTTGTAAATGAAGTTGCGATTCATATATTTAGCCCCTCGCCTTTGTTACATTGAAGAATGTCCGTTATATTACCAATGTAGGTTACTTTGACGAATTACTTCAATGTAACAAAAGCGACGGTTTTAATGTTATGCATGAATAACAGTTTTATTTTAAAATCAAATTTTAAACCGAGAGCATTTCTAAAAGCTAGATTATATTGTCTAACTTTGTACCAAATGATAATTCGCAACATGGCTTATACGTAAATTTCGGGGCGCTCCGAAGTATACCTGATTGGGAATGGAGGTTGCCCCTGCAGAGTTGATCAGTTTATGGTTAATTAAACCTAGTCATAGAGTGATATACTTTAAACTAGGATGGGACTTGGGTCTTGGCTTCTATGTTGTAGTTGGAGTCCACTTCTCATTCCTCCGCAGCCACAGCCAACGTGAGCATGACTCTGCTGTGGCACCAATATCCTTAACTGCTCTCCTAAGATGACTAGACCGTATTCCCAGGTCCTTCAACATGTGGCGTAGGGACGCAGCTGGAAAGCCTCTGCAGCCTACTTCAACTGCGTGATGCCTGCAGTCCCACCCTCTGGATTTTGCTTCGTCTACTAGGTCTTGGTAATGAGCAATCTTCAGTTGGCGAGACACCTCTATTCTCTCCTCGTCAGGCTCAGTAAGTTCTATCAGAAGGGCGGTTTTACTGTTTCTCTATAGTACAGGGTGTTAGATAAACGCAACCCGAAGAAATCGCTATATCTTGAAAAATACTAGATCAATTATGTTCATATTTTCAGGAAATAAAGAAAAGACTGTGTATGAACAGTTCCTGTAAATGGTTAGTTGTAAAACATGATGCCTTGGAGACCTGCTCAAAAGACGGCTGTACTAGGAAAATACGAAAAACGCAGTCAGGGGTGACTGCAACCGCAAAAAAATTGAATAACTTCCTAACCATAGTGTTTTGGCTCTTCAAATTTGGCACAAATCATCTTCATTCACTGTACGGTAAATATTTGAGTGAAATCAAAATTACTTCAGGGACTTCACAGTTATGGTTGAAATGCTTTCAAATCGCATACATACATACACAGTCTCTTCTTTCTTTTCCTGAAAAAATGAACATAATTGAACTAGTATTTTCCAAGATATAGTGATTTTCCATTCACGTTTTTCGTATCTTGCTAGTACAACTGTCCTTTAAGCAAGTGTCCAAGATATCATGTTTTACAACTAACTAACAACAGGGGCTATACATACACAGTCTCTTCTTTCTTTCCTGAAAATATGAACATAATTGGATTAGTATTTCCCAAGATATAGCGATTTCTTTGGGTTGCGTTTTTTTAACACCCTGTAGCACCATATCTGGTCTCTGCATATGGATTAGCCTGGCCTTCCTTTCTGAATTCTACCAATCTAGGCTTGGTTAAGACCTTCTGCTGGTTGGCTTCAAGACGTTCCCTATCATCCCACTTGGCTATTTCCTCCAGCACTTTGTCATGACGCCACCGAAAACGACCTTCTGGTATCCTAATGCTTTTGTGCATCCACTTAGGATACGTGAGAGAGAACAGTGTGCAGCCTGGCATTGTGGGCAGTTTGCCGTTTCCTCTTTTCCCCAAGTTCTCAAGTTGGTGAGGGATGGCAAAAGATCAGTGAATGATCTAAGTAGGAAGCCGAGGCGCCCCTGATCAATAGACCAAAGTTCTCTCCAGCCTAATGATCGGTCCAGTATGGTATCACACCTGGTCTAATCACGGTCTGTCTGGCGAGTCCTATGGCTCTAACCAAACGCTCCTCTTCCTCCTTTCTCCGCACCTGAAGTCCGAGCTGACCCTAGCATGTGATATATATTGTACTTGAAAATCTATTTTTCTTAGTAAGAAGTCAACAGTAGCGATATATAAAACGACAAAGACCAATATCATTTACCCTGCGCGCAGAGTCTAGTTATAAACAACCTTCTGCCTAGCATCGACTTTATTAGCACCCCACGACCGATGCAAAGGGTAAGTATTATTACGTTACGTATCGGCCCACAACTATAAATGTTAGTCGCCACAAGTATAAATGTTAGTCGCCACAAGTATAAATGTTAGTCGCCGCAACTATAAATGTTAGTCGCCACAACTATAAATTCTAGTCACCACAACTATAAATGTTAGTCGCCACTGGGCGCTTTTTTTACCATCAAAAATACGGCACCAATGCTGACGATGGCGTAGAAGAGGGTGGCGAAGTCTGCCCCATGGCCGCAACTGACAAGGATAACATCACCTTTGGTAACACCTTGTGCAAGCAAACCCTTTGCCAGCATTTTCACCTACAAAGTATGAGAATTTGGAGTTTATTGTTTAGATGTAGAATCGAGTTAAAATACAGATGTAAAAAACAACAATAAATGTCCGATTATTAAACTTCTGTAATGTAACATGAAACGTAATGTGCATTCTTGACAAAATTTAGTAATAGTACACACTACCCTACCTTGATTGCGCATGCGCGAAATTTTTGGATTTCAACCAGGTCGCTTTTGAGTACATGTATATCGACTGCTTGGTCAAAAGGTTAATACGTTTGGTGTTCGGAGTGAGTCAATATTGCTATTCACTGAACTTCAGTGGTGCAATAGTGAAGTCCATGTTCCAAGTTGATAGTTGAAGAAAGAATGTAAATAATATTGTTTTAAATTTTAAAATATTTGATATGTCATAGTACATACACGGTACACAGTTGCAAAGGTTGATCAATACAGGGTACAAGGAATGTAAATTGTTCAATAGTACCAGGAGCGAGAAAGTAAGCTGGTTGTACAGACATACTATATCCGATCTCATGTACATTTACGTTGCAAACAGTGGAAATAATGCTAAACAGGCCGCCTGTTGATGCTTTGAGGTGTCATCAATATTGTTATTTAATCCGCATTGAAGTTTATTCCATTTGGAATAATGTTTTTAATGAATCTGAATGCCATATTTTTATCATGTTATTGTTTGTCCATTTATCTTTTGGATAGTTTCCAGGTTTTCTAATCCTTTTGCAGGTAGTGTAATTGGCATCATTTCAATTAAATTGCTACAGGATGCACAAATGTAATGGATGCGGCACCCTTAACGTCCCTCGATCAAAATGTACGAAATGCCCATCCCTTAGCACACATTAATCCTTATAGACCACTTTCTCCTGACGCCTTAGAATTAGGCCTTAGGAATCATCCTGATAAACAGTTCGTAGAGGAAATAATCTATCAAGCCAAAAACGGAGTTTCGTTAGGTTTTCAAGGAATTAGACAATCGCAAATACACAATAACTGGAAGTCTGCATTAGAAAATCCTGACGTGATCGAGAAAAATATTGCTAAGGAAGTCAAAATGGGTCGTAAAGTGGGATTCAGTTCTCCCCCAATTTCAACTTATGTCGCATCGCCGATGGGCGCATATCGTAAAAAGCGCTCTGACCCTCCAAAATATAGGGTTATCCATGATCTTTCATGGCCTCCTGGAAAGGCAATTAATGATTTCATCGACAAGGATATATGCACTCTTAAATACATTAGCATAGATACAGTGATACGTCTCGTGAAACAATATGGTAAAAATTGTTTAATGTCGAAAATCGATTTATCAGACGCGTTTAAATATTAGTGCTACGGCCAAGGCGATTTGTGTCCAAAACACCTAGATTCAATTTGACTTTAGATTCTTGTAGGGGACCCCAAGGCATGCAAAAAAAAGTTTGTGAACCCTTGCAAAGCAGGCTCAAAAGTGCTGAGTCAGCAAATTTTATCATTTTCGAGTCGGAGTTTGACCATATGCTTGAAACTATTTAATATCTCATTTCAGGATGTTGCAATTGTAATGAAACATTGTTAGTATATCAATAAGGCATGTATGAAGAATTCCTGAAAGTTTGGGTCTTATCCAACAAAATTTGGTAGAGATATGGGATAATTTGTCCCTAAAAGTACATAATTTCTTCTCAAAATTTCTTAATCAGTCGATAGTTAATCAGTCATTTAAAAAACAGTAAGAGCCTATGGTGTATAAAACCTGATTAAAAACTTCACTGATGGTATTAGCAAATATTTCTTGCATAAGTTTCAATATAAAGTGCATGCATCTATTTTTTCTGATTTTTCTCTTAACTTTCCACTAAAAATTCAAGAAAGGGGGCGTGGCACCTTACACTTCAGTTGTTGAACTTTTTGCTAGGGTCAAATAGAAAATATGTATCATTATAGCAAAAAGTGTTATTCTAAATAAATCTTAACACAATATGTGACATCATAATATGCTAAACATATTCATTATCTATCATTTTATATTTTTTACAGCTTATCATTGCCATAAACCATAAAACCATTTAGGGCATGTGTGGTCAGCAATTGGAAATACATGTATGTGTACTAATAACATTTTTCAAAACTGTATTTCGGGTGCCATTCTTTCCTAATGTTGTTCATGTAGTTATAGTTTATGTTTATGAATGATAGCACTTCCCATTTATGGAGGGGGTGTACATGCTTTATAGTATAGGGTCCATGTAAACTGCAACAGGACTCCTATTGTTGCTGCAAATAATTAGCTATATAATAACAAATTGTAACACTACAAATGATTAAGAGCCAGAGTTTCTCAGAGCCTGGTTGCAGTTTGCACACTTTGTATTGTATATATGTCATAAATTGTTTAGTTGTAGTCTGTAGAACATAACAAGATGTGTATGTTTTGTTTATGTCAAAATAATACATCTTGTCCATAGGCTTAGCCAGGGGTGCAATGGGATCGCACGCCCCCCCCCCCATAACCAATAAAAATATAACCATGAGATAGAAGAAGAGTTTTAAAATGCTTTTTATTTTACGCTTCTAGCCCTATTTTGAAGGAAGTTGAATCAAGATTTGTAAAATTCAAGATAGATCTTAATTTTTAGCCTTTTTATGCCACTACAGTTGCATCCCCCTGACTGAAAACCGAAAATGTTTTGGCGATCAAACCCCCACTGAACCAAAGCTGGCTTCGCCCCTATTGTCCCTAAGGAATTGGAGATAATGTTTCACTGCTTGTCTAGCACCCGATACTTCACATAGTATCAAGGTAATTGATTGTACTTTGTACAGGAAACAATTGTATCCCTAGCTATAGATAGAAGAGTTAAGAAACCCCAGCAAAGTCATCACCTCCATAGTCAGCATTTAATGGAGCTTATTATCATCTTCGACTTCCATGTTATTATACAGTTGGAGCAATTGAAACCTTGAAAATCAAGATGGCTAATTATCAAAATTTCAATCTTAAATGGGTTCTCATTTGCTTCTACCACCTTGATTATGCTTTGAACAGTGGACTCATTATTCCTGGAGCAGCATGATTGACAGTAAGTGTTACGCGGTATATGGCATACATTCATGGTTGCGCAGTATTTGTGATACAGGTGAATATGCCATACTCACCTGCAGTGTATGGCATATTCTGCTGGTGGGTATGCAATATTCCGCAGTGAATATGCGATACATTGATTTCAGTGAATACCCCATACTCACCTGCGGAATATGTCATACTCACTTGCAGAAAGTGCCATATACTGCAGTCCAAAACGTGATACAGAAAGCCTTGATTTGATTGGTTGTGAGAACCGACTCTAAATGAAAAACTACGCTGGATTACCAATATAGTTAGTGCGTCTAGTACTAATGTATCAATCCTGGATTGATTGAGTAAGTTTATTGCACAAGATTGGTGACTGATACTTCTGCTAAGTTAATATTTTCTAAGTTAATATATTTGATACACAGTGCTGTTGATTCAGTAATCATTATAATAATTTATAATGTTTAACTTGTTCGTTCAATCTAAGCAATTGACAATTGCGTACTTCCATATCACATTCTCATTTGTTAGTGTGTATGCCATATACCGCAGGTGAATCTGTCATATACCGCAAGTGAATATGCCATATTCATTGCGGAATATGACATATTTTTGTATCGTGATTACCGCATAACAGTAAGTTCTTTGTTCCCTGCTAACTGTTATAGTACGTAATAAGCTACTGACTGATAATATCTTGGGATCAACCAATCCACACTCAGTTATTAAGCATTACTTACGTTTTGTCACTCCCATGGACTTTTGGAATCTCTTTTTCCAAGACTCATACATTATCATGGAAACCCCTTCATAATAAACCTATTCACCTAAAGACATTCAATCCAAGGCCAAGTGACCATGGAATGGCTCATCCCCTAGGATCCTATGGATTCTGTAGTAACATGTGGTCATGAATTGAATGCAGGAGAAAAAGTTTATTTGAAGATATTATGAATGGCACTGGCCCGCTCAGTTTGTGTAAAACTAAAATAGCTGTAGCAGACAAGTGAAATCGGTCCAAATAATCACGCTCTTACAAAGTTTTGACAACTTTTCCTTTTTAACGATTTGATGAATGTAAACAAAGGAAGTTACTTCGCTAAAGCCTAACATACACCAATACGGCATGGTGGGACCTCCATTGATTTAACATTGGGTGGGACCTCATGGAAATCTGTTGGACTTCATTGAGCTTCGCCCGATGGAACTCCTTCGGATTCCTTGGGATTTACCCCATGAAGCCCCATTGAGTCCCATGAGATTCCATTGGGTATCATTTGGCGAAGTCCCACTGAGAATGAACCTATTCATTCTTTCCATTGGGCATTGTGGGACTTTTGATCATGGGATGTGTCAGCTAACTTGGGATCAAAATGGCCTTGACAAAACCTTTTAAACTAAATTACATCATTTCTGTGAGACTCGATGGGATATGGAGGGACTTGATGAGACTCCATGGGGCAAAGTTAACAAGGTCTCTTGGGACATTGTGGGACTCGATATGCATAGTGGGACTTGATGGGGCGAGTGGGATTCTGCACCATTGGAATATGTTGGCCTTAGGACCAAACTCGCGTAATGTCACATATCATATAAGTAATGTCAACAAACCCAGTGCCACGGAATTGATCACTGTCTTTGAGAGAATGTAAGGCACAATTATTTCCTCTGGCTTCAGGTTTCTACAACTAAACAATTTATAACACAATAATATTTATACACCCCCTCTATAAGGTTGGCAACTGCAAGTTTTCATATGATTACATATTAAGGTCTGTCAATGTTTGAACATTGATTTTGTTCCTTATTGCTTTATTCCAAAAGCTTGATGTCTTGTTTAAAATTGCCAAACAGCATGACAAGCTTTAATAAGTGATTCAAAGGGGGACTTACAGTTACAAATCTTATGATGGGGAGTGTAATATAACATATTATCATCATAATTCATTCT